TGTAGCCAAGTTTCGATAAGCAACAGAGAAACTGAAAACACTATCTCGTCCTCATCTATAACCGAGCCAAGCCATATCCAAAACCCACTTTCACAAAGCCATACTAGCAAGACCATTAAGCCACGCACGTTTGACGGTCAGACAACATGGGAAACGTATAGACTCCAATTTAAAGCTGCAGCTAGAGCCAATGGCTGGACCGAGAAACAGATGGCGGTTTCATTGATAGTGTCGCTGCGAGGACAGGCAGCAACTATTTTACAGTTACTTCCCCAAGAAGAACCCAATTATTCATCTCTCGTCCAAGCTTTGAAGACAAGATATGGCCAGCAGCATTTGAAAAGGGTATTTCAAAGCAGACTAAAGGTTCGTAGTCAAAAACATAATGAGAGTCTACAGGAATTCGACACCGACATAAAAAGATTGATTCATTTGGCCCCCAAAGATTTCCAAGAATAAATCGGATTATAGGCATTCGTTGATGGACTACAAGATATGGAAATGCAGCAAACCCTTCGTCTACAACATCACAAGACGCGAGAAACTGATTGCAGCCCAAGAATATGAAGCGGTGAACTCCTATCCAGATCTCGCGCAAGAGTGAGATAAACTATATCCCATGAAAGTGAGGAGACCAATACTAATACTATTCTCCAACTTACACTCTCACAAATCTTAAATATCCTGCAAAATAGGCAAAGAAATAGCCAAAATGGTAGCAGAAGATGCTTTAATTACGGAAGAATCGGGCACCTTCAAAGGACCTGCAGAAGCAAGGCTCGCTCTATAAATCAAGAATCAGGGAATAAGGCCAGAAAGTCACATAGATCAATCTCCAACAAGAAATAATTACAGCAGTTATGCGTCCCGGAGAAGCAGATCACCCACACCTAACCAGAAAGTAGAGCATCCTACCTATATTCTCTCCGGGCGACCCCGGTATGGTAAAAGGCTCGAAGAACGAGAGGAACCGATTGATAAAGTTACTCTTCGGGCAATCACTATCAAGGTAGAGGGCGACGAAAAAAAAAATCGCCCTACACACCTACTTGGCAAGAGATAGCCAAATACAGTGGAACTACAAAAGGGTACTGGACTCAGTGGGATTCTCTGTATCTTCATGATGACCTATTGCACCGAAAGTGGGAGAGCCCCGATGGAGTACATGTAGGCTGCCAAGTGGTACTGCCGAAATCACATGTAAGAAGTGTGTTGGAGGAGCTTCATTGAAGCCGTTCGAGAGGACATTTTAGTACTAAAAGAACACTGGCACAAGTTCGGAAAAGATTTTATTGGATCAAATGCCGACGGGATGTAGTGGATTGGTGTAAAAAATGTGACGTATTCAATCGCAAAACAAAGGTCTGCGGATTCGCTCGGGAATGACTGAAAGCCACCAGCGATAAAGCAGAAGCTAAAATCGACAGGCGTGCCACAGGGACATATTTTGGAGAAAGGCAACCCAGTACGGTTGTACAGTCTCAAGCACCGAGGAGTTTGTCAGAAATCGCAACGGAACTGGGAAGGCCCCTACGCCATTATTAAGGAAAATCAATGACCTGCTACCGCATTCAGTTGTCAGCAGAAAGTAAATCCAAGGTAGTTCACATTGGAAAGTTAGCGCAATGCCGTGATCCAGGGGCCTAATTCCTGACGGCGTTCGTCATCGTCTCGTATGCGGTGACGTATGCAAGTAGAAAAATGGTATTCTTGGAAGCTTTTGCCGTATGCGAACGATCCCGCATGCGACGTTTGGCGAATGATTTGCTACGATCGGTCTTGACTATTCGACAACCTTAGGTTTGTTCCAACATAAACCAAATCAGTTTGTGTACTGTCGGGATTCTGCGCAGTCTAGAATTTGTGTTCCAACAAACCTTAGACTCGAAACTTTACAAAAACATAGTGTTCCAACACAACCAAAATTAATCACAAACCGATTTATGTACTGTCAAATCAGTTCCTGGGTCTGAATAGGAACGAATTGTCAAGACATGCGCTAAGCCGCAGTAAACTGAACATTTCGTGATTGTAATTATATTATCTGTATCTATTGTCTCTGACAGTTCTGATTTGTATTTGTTAATCGAGTTTAGTCTTCATAGTTTTTGTTTATGATCATTTATTTTATTTTGTGGTTTATTATTGTAATAATGCGTCTGTTGAATTTAAAAAATGTGTTCCAACATAATCGAGTTCCGAGTTGAGTCCCAATCCCCGACCAGTACCTGACAAGTTGTCACTTACTAGTCATCGACAGATTGTCAACAATAAGTTTTGGACTGGTTTATGTATTGTTCCAAGATCGTTGTTGGAACAAACCTCTTATCTCGCATGCGGTAACTATGGGTATCCAAGCATGTTACTTGTCACTGTCACATAGATATATTAAAATATAAATAGAAAAATCCGGATAGGTACTCCATCGTTCCTGTAGGTATGCCTTATGGCTTTTACAATAGAACCGTTTTTATTATAAAGGTCATATCACTATTAAAACAAACTTGCCAAAAGTAACCACGCACCGTAACGATACAATTTTTTACTTGTTGCTTTCCACGGCCTGGCCGGTTAAATTTAATGGTAACTGGGTTCCTCAGAAGGTATTTCAAAATGTCCATGGTAGGTATAATTCCTAACGTTTACTCTGTAGATGCAGGCCAGGCGTATTTTCTGCAAAAAGGAATTATTATAATCACAACCAGGGCTATTTTCGACATTCTATTAAATAGAATCTACTGACGAATAAAGTATGGAAAATGAATGTGATTGAAATAAATAGATGGCCAAAAAAACCCTTATAAAAATAAGAGAAACAAAAGTTAGAAAGTAAGGTTATGTTTTAGAATTTCTGTAAACATCTTTTACAACGTACCTACCTATAAAACAGCAGTTATTGTAAAATGCAGGAATTATTGAAGGAATAGCTAAAATAAAACATTAATATAAACTTGCCTATGCTTTTAATCAATATCTTTGAACACGTGTACACACATGAGTATGGTAGAATGACCTACACACACATACTTTGATTACTATACGGTGCAAGAGAGAGGTCCGACACGCTCAACATAGGGCGCGGCCATTTTGATTCCTATGCCACAGTTTATAGCTAAAGAATCAGATCGCTCACTCTGCGTCGGCACTTTTGATCTCAATGTTCCAGTTTATACACTGCGCAACTCGGATAATACAATATATGACAACCGCCTATAATAAAACAGCAGTCTTCTGCGTATCCTGAATTTGTAACCCGGAGTGGATGTTATTTTGGAACTTTCAACTGGTCCGAGTGAGCTAACTGATTCTTTAGCAATAAACTGTGACTCCAAAAATAATATTCACTGACACTGACAGCAGCAAGCAAAATATCAGGTGCGTTTTAATAATCCGCTTCTGCTTCCGGAATTGTCGATTTAGTCGTTTTAACCTGTCAGATTAAAACAAGAAAACCAACAATTCCGAAGCAGAAGCGGATGTAAACGCACCTATTAAAAATATTGCGCCACGATGTAGGCAACACGTAATAAGGGATCAAAATGGCGGAGTTTTCTATCTCCTTTTAAAAGGCACTCAGAAAGCAGTGCGTCCATTCTCCGTATAGTAAAAGAAAATCAAAGTATGTGCCTACACAACAGTGGGGGTTATTTTTAACAGGTCTGTTATTTTATAAACACACAGAAATAACAACCTGTTCACAAATCACGTGTCTCTTAAAAATAACATTACTTGTCAATCATAACCCCGAATGTCATAATAGAAATACACGCAAACGCAAGAGTAGAAATAAGAGCTCGTAGCCTGAGTATGCCATGTTTCATCCGCCTTATCAAATAGTTCCGTGTGTATGGGGAATTTGTTATAAATGTTACAGGTGATATAATAAAAAAATATAGATATAATATAAACAAATATACCAATAAGCTTTTAATATAAATAAACCTAAATATATACATATTATTTACTTCTATCTACTAGTTTATTGCCATCAGGAAATATACGTGTAAGGTAAATTATATTTAAACATATAATATACAATCTATAAACTTTTAATTTATTCGTTAAAAAATATAGTTTCAAAGAACTTTACACTAAAACGGATGAACATAAAACAAACAATAAATAAATATATAAAAAGGGACATGACTAGGATTTAAAAAAAATGTTTTAATTTTTGAATGTGTCATCTTGTAGTTAATTTGTACTTCACACCGTAACCATACAATTAATCAGTGAAAGCGGAACCTGAGAGTGATAACTTTTTAATAGCTGCATTTTCAATTAAAATAAAGATAAAAATCGACCTACAATGAATATTGCAACATTTTTGTAGCGCTGCAGTTCAGTCAAAATCAATCATGTTTTTAACATTTATCTTTCTAGCTTTTACTATTTTTCCTAGCAGTTATATGGAAAAACACCATCATAAGTCGCCAGATATCGATGAAGCAAAAATTGACTCCCTAGAAACAAATATATTTCCTCCTTGGCCGAAACTCAATAAGGTAGGTAATATATTTCAATAATAATTATAGAGGTAATTACAATAATCTAAACATTCTTTAAAAATTATAATTTCCGCCGATTAAGAGGGGATTTAGGTGGGAAGATGGCTGCCGCTTCACGATGCTACGTTTTTTTCTACTTTTTCTATTAACAACATATTCTTAAATTCTAAATTCTTTACTTTGAATTTTAAATAGTTTAGCTACATAAGTCAGTCATGTCTGATTGCGACTCAGTGGTATTTATATCGCTGTCAGTTCCATTGGCAACTATAAGAAAAGTATACAGACAAACCTTCTCAAATTTTATTCAAAATCAATTTTTTTTTTTTTTTTAATAATAAGGGATACCTTTCATTCTAATTCATAAATGAAGTTATTAATTTAAACAAATCATTATATAAATATAGCTCAAATAAATGATATAAAATGTTTGTTAATATTACTAAATAATGTGTAATTGGATGTTTTTATAATAACGTCACTTGTTTTCAGAAACAATTTGAGTTCGGAGGAAATGGAACGATGGCTTTCGATACACAAAAACTAGATCTAGATATCTTGGGTCAACATGTAAGGTTTGGGGGCGTCGGAAAAATAGCACTTGCTGGAAAAGTACGAGTTAATTTACCGGTTGAATTGGAAGATTTAAAGATCAACATAGAAGATTTAAGTAGTATAATTAAACCACATATTAGTAAGAAATAAGAAAATAACGGATAATTGTTGAAAGATTTGAATCCTTTCCATCTAAATCGAAATAAAACATGTTGATAATGTAATTTTATAGTTATTTATCCTTATAATTAATAATAACCAATTAGATAAGTAGGTACTCCTTTTGTAAAGGTTTAATCAATTAAAAATGACAATTAGCTTGACAAGATTAACTAACATTAAACCCATAATGACAACTATAGAATAACCATAGAAATATTACCACAGTGAGTCTAAGCCACAGTGATTGCGTCTCCGTTCGTTCCTATTTTACCCCCATGTCTGGTCTTGAAAAGATTAGAATCATGATCATTCGGAGAAAAGTCAACTTGATGAGACATTGAGAAAATTGAAAAAAAGGTTGCCAGCAAAAAAAATGTCTTTGGTTGCCAGAAAAAATATTGTCAGGTTTTTGAAAAGTAAAAAAATGCATTGGAATATGTTAATAGAATAAGAGAAGGAATTGGTTTATAAACATTTATTATTGGTGAAATAATGTTTAAAATAAATAGAAGATAAAAAGTAATTTGCAATTTGAATATTTGTAAATTTTGTTTGGATTTACACGGAATGGAACAAATGGTTGGATCAAAGAGTAAAAAATCAGTAGCAAGGAGACAGAGCTATGGTGATATAGAAAAATTTGGAAAAATAATCGGATTGAAATTAATACCTTTTAATACTTTGTTTTAGTGTCTAAATTTTAATATAATTGTTATCAAAACAAATATAGAGGGAGTATTGAAGGTAGATATAGTGTGATTTGAAAAAAGGTGAGTTTTTATATTTTACTTTTGTTTTGGTTATCAAAATTATTGAGTAAACCCAATCTAAATTTAAATTTAATAAGAATAACTGAGGTGATACAAATTTTCATATCAAACAGATTATCATATCAAAATATATCATTAACACTATCAAATTCATCAGGACTACCGGCAACCATTTTGTTTGGAATAGCAATGGCTAATTATTTGCTAAAAAAATTAAACGGCTTGGTTATAGTTACTTAAAAAATATATTTGCGTTCTCTCACTTACAATACACAAGAGAAAGAGACAGATGGGTACGAATTTGGTTCGAGTGTGTAGAGCTCGATTTTTTTGTGAAGAGCACACTTCGTCATAATGTGCAGAAACCAATTTGAGTTTGTAGGCGTGGTTAGACAGATTTAAACGTGATCGAAGCCGCCTGCAGCTCATCGCCGCTCATACAAGTTGAATTCAGTAGGGTAGTGTTACTTATTTGTACTTGTTGCATTTATTTAGCTATTTTGAGTTTCTTGAGTTTTGTGCTTTGATTTTTGAGTTTCCTGAGTTTTTGTGCTTCGATTTGTCTGTATATAAACTTTAATTTGTTATATTTTTTGAATTCCTAATTAATTTTGTGTACATTTACAAAACTATAAATATTAATCTCAGAAGAAACCGAACATCCTAAAATATTTTAAATACCTTTTAAAACCAGATTTTTTGTAAACCATATTTTTATTATCTTAAGAGCTATTGCTGTGGTAATACTTTTTTGTTGATTTCATACTACAGAACTATAGTTTAAGTTACTATATAGCAACAAAAAAAATATCACGTAAATACCTTAAATATTAAGAACTTGGTGATAAAATATATAAAACCTACGAATTTTATCTTATTACCGAAGCACTAGCCCTTAAGTAACTTTAATTTGTATTACTATTTCAAAAATTTTCCTTGGCTAGAGGTTTGATTTGCTCTTAATGAATAGAAAAATAAGTTTAATATTATTTAAAATAAATTTCCTACAAATATCTATATTTTTAGCTCGTTCAAAATGGAACAGAAAAAATTATTAGGCAAAAAGGGCTACATTCTTCAAAGTCAAACGGAAGAAATAATTTTACGCCTCATAAATTTTATGAAAAACGAGGCTGAACACGGTATTCAAATACCATTACACAAATACATAGAGGCTCGTTTAAAACAATATATCACATGATGTTAAAATAACCAAACCAGAACTGTACACATTAATAAAAGTTCAGAGACCTCCACCGAAATTTCTTTTAGACGATCTTCTCGAAGAACATGGACACAAAGTTGTACGAATTAAATCCCATAGAAAAAATATGGGCCGCAGTAAAAAATTGGGTGGGTCAACATTTCAGCCCAGCGCCATCAACTAAACTCCACAAAGTTATGACGTACTGCGCGAACTGTGGCTTAGCTATGACGAAATGTGCTCTTCACAAAAAAATCGAGCTCTACCTAATTATCCTTCCTCCATGTCATGCTCTGTTACGAAAGATTTCACTTGAAGATTTAGCCGCTCCTATACGCAGTACCTACACAAGTATAATTATTACGCTCTATCTGTTGTTGAAGTTACCAGTTTGAAAATAATTTTGATATGCTCGAAGCCTACAGCCACCAACCATCGGCCCCAACGTCCTTTTTTATTTGGACAACCGGTACATACTTTCTTAATAGTAGTGTGATGTTGGTTGTCTACAACACAGGCGTCAATACTCTCATTAAATTATCTTCTTTTTTTCTAATTAGACAGTACATTTTGTCATTTTGTAGGTTATGTTTTAATTATTTTAAATTATATCGAATATCAAGTGTATTTTATCATAAATTTTTAGTATCATTTTATTTATTCGTCAAATCTAAAATAAAAACTACTTAAATAACTAAAATGCCCTTTAAGGGTCCATTGGTGTGTTTAAAATGTGAAACCAATGAATCTCCACTTTGGACTAATGCAGAAAATTTAGGTGCAATTTGTTTAGATTGTGTGAATGAAGCTAAAGATAATCTAAAAACGGAATTAGAAAATGATGAAGAAGAACCTAAAGTTATCAAACGAAAGCAGCGGCATACTAGGTCCTACAGAACCAGATTGAATCCTTTCGCTGTGCCTAAAACTTCTGCTCCAAAAACAAGAGGTCGTAGGGGTTTGTTAAAAAGGACACCAGTAAAGGCACCTACAGCTGTAGCTACTTGTGTTACTAGTGAATACGTTTTTTATAAGGTATTGTTAATAAAGATATTTATTAAAAATTTAAATCTTCTTGGAAAATCAAGCATTATAAGGGGACGAAGCCTATTGATTCAAAAAAACTAATTGAAATTGTGGGTTAAAGGGGAGGGGGTCTGTTAAACTGTGAAGAGTATAATATAGAATATCAAGCATTATATTTCTTCTAGTTTTGTTATAAAAAGCAATTATTTCAGGCCAAAACATGAAATATTACGAATCATTTAATAGTTTGTGGCTAGGTATATGATATAAAATACTTCAACATATCTATTTTTATTAAGAAGAAGCTCTTCGTAGGTATTCCTTTTTTTTTAAGTTCCCACAATTTCTAGGTAAATATTAATCTCTATTTATTTCAAAACTCTAGTTTTCTACATTTTATTTGTCAACAGTTTTTTTAAACATAAAACTACTATAGGTTTCAATAATTCATCATTTATCTAAAGGAGGTTTAAAGGCATCAATCTTTTCCACAATCACTAAACACAATTTGTTCCAGCCTCGGTTCCAGCATTCTTTATACACATAATAATAATAATCTTTAATTTCATAATACATATAAGTAAGATAATTCTTAAACAAAACAGTGTGAAGGAAAATATATTAATGATCACATAGAGTAATATTTATTAACTGTATATGGTTCTAAATTAACAATTCATGTACTTCCCTTTTAAATACTTTAACAGTTGCCAATCTTTTTATTGCATCAGGCAGTTTATTGTACAACTTTACACAGCTGTACCGTGCTCCATGTTCTGTAGCTGTCAGCCTATGTATTGGATATACTAGGTTTATATTTCTCAATATAAGCTTTGTTGGTTTAGAGTTTGAAAATAAACCTCGATTTTTAAATAAAAAAATTAAGCATTCCTTGATGTACCTCTATATGCCTATCACAGTTAAGATTTTATTTTCTCTAAATTTACCTCTACAGGACTCTCTCATATTCAAACTGAGCATAATCCACATTATTCTTTTTTGCACTAAAAAAACCCTTTCAATTGAATTGCTCCCACCATAGAATATTATCCCATATCTAATTCTGGATTCAAAATTTGCAAAGTAACCATTTTTAAACTATCCCATTCCAAATATTTCTTCACAACTCTGATGCTGTAACAGATCTGGCTCAGTTTTGTATATACAAACTCAACATGGCTTTCCCAGCACTGAAAACTATCAATATATAGCCCCAGAAACTTGGTACTAGTTGAGACCTTAAATATACAGTTGTTTAGTTGAATATTTATTGGCATTTCATCTCTGTTGTAATTGGTTTTAAAAAGTACCACATTTGTTTTGCCCTCATTGAGTATTAATTTATTTATTTCAAACCATTTTTTAGCTTTAGTTATCTCTCTCTTTGCATTTAGGGTTAATTCCATCATATTAGATGCATTTATTAAGATATTTGTGTCATCTGCATAATTAGCACACACTTCTCATTAGTAATCAACGCTGTTTAATTCATTCATATAAATAATAAAAATCAATGGACCTACTATACTTCCCTGAGGTATTCCTGTATTAGATGTTATTTCTACAGATCTACCTTCCTCATTATTTTTATATATTATTACATATTTGACAGGCTTTCTTAGCTTGCTATAAAACCATCAGTAAATATAATTGGAACATCATTTTATAATAGGGCAATTTTAATCTAAAATTTGAATTATTTAAATACTTAATTGAATGCTATTATTAGCAAATAGAAGGTTTCAAATATAAATTTGACTTTGTAAAAGAGTACCTATACTAAATCTTATATTTCAACTTTTGCTGTTTTGCTATACAGCACTCAATATATTTACAGGTACTTGTAAATAAATCAATAAATTATTTTATACTTCTATAAAATCAATGATTATTAATCAATAAATCTAAAGCTTCTGTAATAATAGAAATATGTTTGATTTTCTTTAATGAGTTTTTTTTTATAGGGTAGTTACATTCAAGTTGGTGATATCGTCTCAATGAGAGATGCTGAAGGGGACACTTATTATGCCCAAATTAGGGCTCTTATGACCGACCAATATTGCAATAAAAGTGCTGTCGTAACCTGGTTACTGCCCACTCAAGAAGCTCCACCACCAAACGAAAATTTTGACCCAGCTACTTACATAATAGGTAAGTGAGTAGTTATTAGATCTGCACTGTATTTTTTTTTTCTGTCAAAAACTTAATTATGATCATCTGGAACTGGAAAGTTCTTGGAGAGTGAGCTCAGTTTCGCAACACTTCACAAGGCTCATTGTGCATCCTCCAAGGGCATATAGTAAAAAATTGGATGGCTCTATTCTTATTGTCATCCCTTATGACAGGCTCAAGATATCTCACATTATTTCATTTTAAATTGAAATAAAATATACCTTATCACTTTTAATTGTTCCTGTGATACACAACTAAAATTGATTTGACATTTAAAAGGGGAATATTTTTTCTTTATGTGGAATTAAGTTTTCCCTTGCATATATAGTATGCATCATAAGTTGTACTTGTTACTGGAGTCTTGTTAGAAAAATCTCCGAGACAGGTTGATTTTTGATTTCTACAATGTACATTTTTGTATGAATAGTTTACCCTTAAGTTCATCCCTTACTGGAGGGGAGCAACATTTTCGAAAAATTTAAATGGCATGGGGTGGTGAGTGATAGCTCATTTGAAAGGGGGTTTTATTCTCTATTCAACTGTTCAAAAAATTTTGAAATTTGCTTCATTACGTGTTGATTTATTGATTAAAAATCTGATGTGTCCAACACATGACTTTCCTATCTTGTTATTATAGGCTTTTTCCTGTTATTTTGTACAACCTATTGCAGCACCTCTATAAATGTTTAGAGGATAAACTAAATATATACATTTTCCACATACATCTACCTCGAAACATTTTTCTATAGATATTCATTGAATTTTTCCATTACGGACCATTTTAGAAAAATCATGTATAAACAAAAATTATAGAGATCGATATCGCAAACCACTTTTTGTTCAACAATTTTCATAAAAATCAGAATTTTGCACATTTTGTCAAATTTCTCGAATACGGACCATTTCAGGAAATTTTGACATAAGGCAAAAATTATAGGTAATAATATAAGAAGTAACTTTTATTTGAACGATTTTCTTCTCTAAACATAAATAACAGATATATTCCATAAAATATAAAAACGGCCTCCCATAAAGTACCCCCAGATGTTCCGACTTTGTCCAAAATCTAATCATTTTACGTCAGGCCGAAATAAAACTTAAGTTTAAAATTTAATGTTTTTTTCTTTGTCCGTTTTTGAGTTTTCTTCAAAATTCGAAATTTACACATTTTCTCAAATATCTCGAATACGGTCCATTTTAAAGAAATTATGTATAGGATAAAAATTATAGAGAATTATATTACAAACAACTTTTATTTGAATAATTTTTATAAAAAATTATTTTTTTACATTTTGTCAAATTTCTCGAATACGGACCATTTTAGGAAAATTTTGTATACAACAAAAATTATAGATAATAATATTAGAAGTAACTTTTATTTGAAGAATTTTCTTATCCAAATGTAAATAACAGATATATTCCATAAAATATAAAAATGACCACTTATAAAGTACCCCCCCAGATGTTCCGACTCTACCCAAAATCTAATCAGCTCATTGGACGCTGGAACAAAGCTTAAGTTTAAAATTGGTGTTTTTCTGTGTATCGGTTCATGAGTTATGGTGGATGCAGACACACACACACAGACATCATCGCGAAAATAGTCAAAACGGATTCAGGGGACCTCAAAACGTAAAAATCCGTCGAAAACTCGAGGTCGAAAAAAATCATGATTCCTATACTTTCCTTATATCTGTATACAGATAGGAAAGTAAAAATAACAAAAGATCATAAATAGGAAAGCAACTAAACTAACAGTGACCTTATCTAATGGCAAAAAGTCTTACTTCACGTCTGAACCAAAACCGATATTATGCAGGGCCGAATTTTAATTCTAAGGATGAGTGCGCTACGTTAATTTCCGTTATTCTGAAACAATAATTAGTCAAGAATTAATGAAGTAAATTTCAAAATTTTTTGCACGGTTGAATAGAGAATAAAACCCCCTTTCAAATGAGCTATCACTCACCACGCCATACCATTTAAATTTTTCGAAAGGGTTGCTCCCCTCCAGTATGGGATGAAATTAAGGGTAAACTATTCATACAAAAATGTGTCTCGGCGATTTTCCTAACAAGACTCCAGTAACGAGTTAGATAGGGGGAGTAAGACTTATGATGCTCACTGTATATCAAGTGTTGGTTCAGTAAAAATCAATGAGGTGTCATCAGTATATTGTACTAAAATTCATCAACTTCCTGTAATTCATTTACATACAGTATGTAGAGTGAAGGACCCAATATGGAACCCTGTGGCACATTTTTTTTATAGATTTAATATCCAATATGCTAAAAATGGTGTATATTATTTGTTATTATTGTTACTTTATAAAAGGAGAACCTTCTTTTTTAATTTTTTTTTTCTTACACCTTTGTTTATATTTTTTCTTGTAGTTCTTGGGTTTTAGGTGTTGAGGAAATTAAATTTGTACATTTGAACAGTTTTTTCTGTGGTACATTTTATGGGGTATGTAATTAATATTAAATGTTATTAGTTAATATTTAATATTAATTACATACCCCATAGAATGTACCACAGAAAAAACTGTTCAAATGTACAAATATGTTTTAAAAAAAATTAAAAAAAACTACTGAAGAAGGCCCTGAGCAGGGCCGAAAGCTTTACTTTACTTAAACACGAGTTGCATTTCCTCAACACCTAAAACCCAAGAACTACAAGAAAAAATTATTTGTTATGTTTAACTAATTGTCCCAAATAGATGAATTAACTAGTTTGTTCATTCTTACTCTGTCATCTCATGTTTATATTATAATTGTATTGGTTTTTTGATAATTCACTATCCTCATTGATCGTTCATCTCTCTCTCTCGACATTGCTTTCAACCCTATTTTGTTTGCGATTAGGTTTTAATTAGTAGGTAACTTATTTTTGTGAAAAAATTTGTTCACAATAAAATTTGCGACTTATTTACTGATTGCATTTTATTTGCGTAAAAGGTCCAGAAGAAGATATATCCAGAAGTTTGGATTCGATGGAATTTGTAATGCATTCTCCAGCAGACTACTACAAATCCAAAACTACGCCCTACCCTTCACCTGTGGCTACCGCAGAACCAGGTTATATATGGGCGTCAATTGATACGTTAAAATCATTACAAATTCGAAATAGTTGATAGGTATTAAAAACAAAAGACATTATATTTATTATACTTATTTTTAAATTATGTACCTGCAAAATTTGATTTAGAATTTATTTTCCCTTCGATTGTTTTTTACTTATTTAATTTTTACAATTATGTTGTTTACACATTTCTTATAATTTTTTAGTATTGAAATAGTTGGTGAACATTCAATAAAATAAAAAAAATTAAGGGGATTATAAATGTAAAGCCTTTGGTATAAATCTGTATACATTTTTTTTTTAAATATTCTATTTAACTCTTTATATTAATATACTTTGATGTTTTTCCTACAAAAGATCTCATATACTTTTAATTTTCATTTATTATGATTATTGGCTTAGTAATTTATTGATTAAAAGATAATGAAAAAACCTTTAAGATGACGGTTAAGAATAATTTTGATTTTTCACGTCAGTGACTCAAAATTGTACATTTTTTAATACAGTCAATATCTAATATTTTGACAGACATCAAATTTTTAATGTAAGAAAGTTTGAACATGTACTTTTTATAATAAAGAATTTTATTTTGTCAATTTTTTTGACACAGTGTGTTTGTATTAAATTCGATTAAGAAAACAAGAAAAAAGACATTATTTTTGGTAACAAAATCATTTCCAAATTATTAGGTGGGCGGTACGTTCGCCTGATCTAACTTTTTCGCGTGTGGTACTGTTTGTAGCTAATTATATGAGTAATAGTTTTAATCTTTAAATTGTAATTTATAGGCAAATTAAAAGGAGTTATTGTTTCTTATTGGTACGTCCTCTCCCCATGAACTTAAGGTTCCATCAAGTTTATTAATAAAAAAAAAAAAAAATACAATTAGGTATATTTAGACCCAGAGCTTAAGACTGTTCTAATTATTTGATCACACAAGACATTTGGATCCTGCCACACAGTTTTAATTATACCTCGAAGATCTCTTCTACATGCTAACCTATTTAACTTAAAACATTTATAATATTTTTCATTGCTAATTGAATTGCATTGTTTTTCCTTCAATATCTGTATTCTATCCATCATTTAACTAAACATAATTGAAGTTCTTGAATTATTCTGCACTCTAGTTGGAATGCTATCATTTAAATTAATAAAATTTAGTGAATCAATTAGGTAATCAAGGTTTCTTTTGTACATATCATGTTTATATAAACAGTTAATATTAAAGTCTCCCAAAATAAACGTTTTCTTTTAATGGTTATTGATATTTTCTAAATTTTCTTCTAAAACCTTTAAAAAAGTGTTTTATCAAAATCTTGAGGTCTAGCACCTATAACAAAGTTCCTTTGTTCTAATCTTATAAATAGCATTAAACATTTTTTACTTAACCTGTCAATTTCTGTGAAATTGTAGCCTTCTTTTACTAGAATGCTAACTCAACATCCCGTTTTATTTCTTGATTCATAAATTGCATTATAATCTGGCAAATTAAAATGGTTTTCCTCACCAGGAGAAAGCCACGACTCTGTAACAACAATTACATCAGGTAGATTGACAGGTTTATTAAATGCTTCAATCTCATCTAACTTATTACGTACTGAGCGAGCGTTTAAGTATAATATAGAAAAATTAAGTCCAATAGTCTGTTTTCTGAATTTAAGAGATTATTGAACTGTACCAGGTCAAAAAAGTTTGAGAGATTAGTAATTAACTTACATTTATGTTTCATTTCTTAAATTAACAAATTCGGGAACATTAAAATCAACCTAGCATGATAAAGTTATGACCGTATAAACATGTAATGGAGGCAACACACTCGGAAAAGATTTCATAGTCTTCAATGTTATAATTAAATTAATAGTAATTTTAACAAGTATCATATCAATAAATTTAATATCATGTAATTTTGTACAATATTTTTTCAAATCAATAACAGTAGATGTAAAATTTCTTTCAAGTGCTACTAGTAGTAGTGTTAGAAGGAAAAAGGACTAATCAACAGGTTCATTATAGGAAAATGATAAGACGATGTTTTCTACACCCTTTAATTACTATTTGGTAGGATAAGAGATATAACTTGTCCTTTATTAGAGTGGTGGAAGGTTTTATATTATTTTTTAAGGTATTTTATTTTACTCGAGTTATGTATTTTAAAGTTTTTTTTTTCTTTAATAAAATTAAATAATTTTGGTATAACTCCACCAGATTCGTTTTAGCAAAATGATAAGACAGAAAAAGGCGACTGAGGAATATTTTGCTCGTTGCAAGAACGTTCATTAAATATTGATGCTGTTAAATTTTTCTCTACACTGTAATTACTATTTGGCAGGCCAAGCGATATAACTTGTCCTTTATTAGAGTGGTGGAAGAAGCTTTTTTTATTTTACTCTAGTTATCTACTATTGTAAAGATATTTCTCCATTAATAAATTTAAATAATTTTGGTATTACTCCAGCAGATTCGTTTTAGCAAAATGATAGAACAAAAGATAGATGACCGAAGAATATTTTGCCAGTTGTAACAACATTCATTATATATTGAAGCTGTGTTAAAGTTCTTCCTACCCTTTAATTACTATTTGGTAGGCCAAGAGATTTAACTTGTCCTTTATTAAAGTGGTGTGGAACCTTTTATATTTGTTGAATAAACATTCTACATATTTAAATTAAAACACAGAACATAGTCCGCCCTTTGCACTTCTAGAAACATCTTGAAGACGTTACGTCATTTTTCGTTACAGAGGCAAATTGCCAATAGAAGCTATCATGTGAACGCGCCCTTACAGACGATTGTTTAGATCGCAGCCCAAGCGACGCGAAGATGCCATCCAGCGTGGCCTCGCGTCACCCGGCGCTTTAGAATTCATTTTTCATTCAAACAAACTTGTTTCTTTTACTTGTTTCTTAAACAGGCGTACAGTCGCCATGTTTAAATTTGTTCTATAAAATTAAAATTACACACTACAATGGCTGTGGTAAATTTTCTCGCATAACAGTGCTTTACAAAGGTTACAAATTATAGTCTAGTGTTTTGTTATAAAAGTTATACTATGGATTTACAATATTAAAAGAAGTAAGTGCTGCTAGCAATTTTATTTTATCGCAAAGTAATAAAATCAGAAAAATATCTTAATATTTTGTAATAATTTGTTCACAAAGAAGCTCAATTTAATTCAAAAGACTCACCGTTGCTCCTTCACTCTCAATTCCATTAGTTGATCCATTTTTTTTTTCGTTTTCCATAATATCCATTATTTCCAGTAAGTTTTTCCAAAAAATCGTCTATTCCCGGCGATATCAATGATCATCGTATTATATTCGATTCTATATCAACCGTTTGATACATTGAACATTACAAATACATTCCAAGATCAAACGTGTCTTTATTGTCAGAGGTAAAATGAACATGAGCTCAAATCATTGATATCGTGCTACCGATTAACTCGAAATATTTACGGCGATTTCAATTTTTCACGGATATTCGCTGAAAAGAAAAACAATTATTTGAAAATTGTCAGAAGGGAATGATATAATTGAAGCAAATCTTTAAAAATTTCACCTATTCTTATTTTAGTTATTATAAATTTATAAATATTCAATCACGTGGCCTAAATCTCTACACCGGAAGTAGAAATAAACAACTTTATCTTGAATTTGAAAGGTTAAACGACAGCTCCCACCAGCGGGACATAGTACATGTTATTCATTCCCACCCCTATACAGTAGCAAGCAAAAACTCGACATGCCACGTTTTACAGTCAGATGAGGGGCCATATATTTCTGAGGGCAAAATTAATTCCTGGAGCGAAAATAAAACTCCCATGGACTTAAACTAAGTCGAAATATTTAAGCATTTTGAAGAATATAACATTTCGTGTCAACAGAAAAAACTAGTCCCAGAGTAGAACTTCGAAAGCTTTGATTATTATCAAATACAACTTTAATAGAGACTATATTTGGTTTTAAATAATAAGCAACTTAAAAAGTGCATCAAAAGAGAAATGTTTTTGTAACAAATTCTAAATATAATCAATTTATTAGGGTTTAGTTTTAATATTTACTGAATAATATTTACACATTCTTTTTTCTTTGGTCAAAACATCTTTTGAATATCTAAAACACTTTAGTTTAAAAAATAAAAAAAATTAAACGTCATAATTTAATAGAGGGTGTACCGATGTACGTTTAAATGGGATGACGCTAAAAGTATCCACCGAGTGACGTCATGGTTAACCCAGCAGAAATTAAACTAATTCAGCTATCCTCTTAGTTGAGAGTAGTCTTTAAATTTGGCTGGCTGAAGTCATTTGCCAAACTTTTGGATAACACAAATTATGTCTGAAAGTTTTCGAAAAGTACATTCGTTCTTACTTACTTCATAGATGATGTAATATTAATATTAATGAATAAATAAATCGTCGAATGTGACTGGAGATAAATTAATAGAAGTATAGTCTATGGAGTTTACTACAAAAGACCGAATTAGACTAGGTACTCTAAACAACGATTCAATAATATCCACAATAGATCTGAAAAGGTCGAGGTGGGGGAGGCTACATGGCCCACAGTCCTAATTAAATCTATCTAATATATGTAACCCTCTGACTTAACAATAAATAATGATGTTCTGCTAATTCAAGAAAATTGTCTGGAATTAAATCCAATTCAATATGAAATAATTAAGTAGTAAAAGATACAATGACATCTGGTCCCGATAATATTTCATCTTTCTTAGTCAAAGACTGCATTGGTGCATTGATTGCTCCCTTAGCAAATATTTTTAATTTATGTTTAACAAAAAAAGAATATCCTGCTCAATGGAAAAAGTCGAAAGTTTTTCTTTTTTTTTAAGAATGGTAAAAAGTCAAATATTGAAAACTATAGACCCATTTCCATTATATGTAATGTGTCAAAGGTCTTTGAAATAATATTGTGTAAGAGGATATATCCTTGTGTTCAAAACCAATTATCAACATGAATTTATTTCTAATCGCTCTATCGTAAGCAATTTGTTAATTGTAACCCAATACACAGGGTGTATCTAAATAACACCGAAAAAATTAAAGAGGTGATTCTGTGATGAAAATTAATGTGAGTGTTTTGTATAAAATTTTTTGAAAAAGCCCTCCCCGGAAAAGTTACACCCCTTCGAAAATTAAAAAAAATAATGGTTTTTATTTTTTATTTTCCCTGTATATCAAGACACGAAACTTGGTAAACATTATCTGTCAATAAAAGTACACTTTTTGAAATTTTTTCAACCCTGAAGTATGCTTAGAAGGGGTTGAAATAATCAACCCCTAAGATATTTTTTCTTACAACTTTTTTTAGATGAAAATTTTTTCTTTAAAAAAGTATGACTGAAAAGCCCAATTCATTGACTAACTTTTTTAACTCTACAAGTTTTTTCTAAAACTTGAGCATTTACGAGAAAAAAATCTAATGCAATGCATATTCAAAAAGATGAGCTAACGCGAGTGTATTTTGCGTCAAGTCTAGTGGCCTGTGCTTTGCATAAAAACATTAATACTGATACCAGGATTGTCTAGTGTCATTTTCTGTTACCCATCTTATTGTTTCACAAGTTTTATGATTGTGTATTGTAGGAAATATTAGTTGATTGAAAATATAAATGCATATTCGAATTTGGAAATGGCAGATATGCATTTTACATACGGTCGTGCTAACGGTAATTCATTGGAAGCGCAAAGACTTTATGCTGAACAGTATAGAGAAAGTAAAAGTTGAAAAGTCTTTTGGTAGGTAGAAAGGGGGTAAACGTCAAACCACGTCGGGCGGCTCCGAGAATTTCACCTGCCAGTGTCGTTTCATAGAATAAGTAATTTTAAATTGTTATCGGCGGAACCGGACAATCGCATGTATTTATGAATTATAAATAATTATTAAACATGTATTATAATATTCAAATTATAATTTTACAAAATTTCAGCAGCTATTCACAATTTATTAAACTATTTACTCGAAATTGTTATTAACATCTATAAAATAATTTTGTACGCCAATGTATCGCGTCCACTTCGGTGAGATCCGGTGCCAACCTGTCAATTTATGTGTATAAAGTGGGAGAACTGGCAAAAGCATTTCCAACTTTTACTTCTGTTCTACCCACAGCGTAGACTACCCCATCATACTACGTTCACAACTATTCACCGACGCTTGCGGGAACGTGGTAATTTTGAAAAAATAAGTTATGATTCTGGTCGTACTAGAGAAGTTAGAACTGCAACTGTAGAAGAAGCCGTACTTAATTCAATTGAAGAATTCCCAGAAACTAGTACCAGGAGAATAGCTCGTGTCCTACATGTAAGCCATTCCGTTGTTTTTAGAATTTTAAAAGAACAAATGTTGTATCCCTATCATGTTCAACGGGTGCAGGCGTTATAGATTCGAGATTTTTTACCCCGTGTGATTTTTTGTCAGTGGCTTATTAATATGATTGGCCAAGCACCACAGTTCTTAGGTAATATTTTATTTACAGACGAGGCGAGTTTCTCAAGAGACTGTATTAGAAATTTTCACAACAATCACCTTTGGGTTGACGAAAATCCTCATGGCTTTTTTGAAGGAAATCATCAGTATCAATTTTCATTAAACGTGTGGCTCGGAATTATTGATAATCATTTAATTGGTCCCCATTTTCTTCCGCTACTATTAAATGGTGAAGCATATTGTCATCTCCTTGAAGAATTACCTGTTCTTCTTGAAGATGTTCCCATGCAAATTAGGCAACATTTATGGTTTATGCACGATGGTGCACCAGCTCATTTTAGTATACGTGCAAGAACTCACCTGGATGAGGTGTATGCCAATCAATGGATAGGTCGAGGAGGACCTGTAAACTGGCCAGCCCGCTCCCCTGACCTTAATTCTTTGGATTTTTGCATATGGGGATATCTGAAATATTTGATATACACAAACCCAGTTGAAAATATCGATGATCTGTGAAACCGGATTGTAGCAGGGTGTGAAACTATAAGAAATTCTCCAGGAATATTTCATCGTATACGCAATTCTATGAGGAAAAGGGTAGATGCTTGTATTGAAGCTGAAGGCGGTCATTTTCAACATTTATTATAATTGTATTGTCGATATTCGACAGGTTTTTGTTCATTGTTTGTTCACTTTTGTTTTTAGTTGTAGAAGTCTTAAGAATCATAATTTGGTTGGCTGTTTAATAAAATGCTATTTTACATGAGCTTATTTATTTTTTTCTTATAAATGCTTAAGTTTTCGAAAAAAAACTTGTAGAGATAAAAAAGTTAGTCAATGAATTGGGCTTATCAGTCATACTTTTTTAAAGAAAAAATTTTCATCTAAAAAAAAGTTGTAAGAAAAAATATCTTAGGGGTTGATTATTTCAACCCTTTCTAAGCATACTTTAGGGTTGAAAAAATTTCAAAAGGTGTACTTTTATTGACAGATAATGTTTACCAAGTTTCGTGTCTTTAGCTTGATATACAGGGAAAATAAAAAAGAAAAACCATTTTTTTTAATTTTCGAAGGGGTGTAACTTTTCCGGGGAGGGTTTTTTCAAAAAATTTTATACCAAGATTAATTTTCATCACAGAATAACCCCTTTAATTTTTTCGGTGTTATTTAGATACACCCTGTATATCTGAAGCTCTAGATAATAGAAGCTAAGTTGATGTGATATATACAGATTTTTTAAAGGCTTTTGATAGAATTTATCACGGAGTTTTAATTTCTAAGTTAAAATTATTTGGTTTCTCTGGGGATGCATTACAATTTATAAAATCGTATTTAACGAATAGAAAGCAATTTGTTTCATATAATGGTTATAAATCAAATAAATATTTGGCTTTATCAGGGGTTCCGCAGGGATCGAATTTGGGTCCATTATTGTTTTTGTTATTTATAAACGATTTATGCGAAGCAATAGATGCAAATAGACTATGTTTTGCTAATGACCTAAAGTTGGTTCTCTACAATAAATAGCAAGAATGATTGTATTAATCTCCAAAATCAGCTGAATTATGTATATAATTGGTGTAATAGTATTAAACTAAAATTTGAATATTAATAAATGTAAATTTGTTAGTTTTACAAAAAAAAAAAAAAAAACTCGATTGAATATGAATATCATGAAAAAGCAAAATTAAGGACTTTTTTCGACAATAAGCTTCTGAAGCGCTCAGAACTTACGGGTTCATTGTCAGAAATAGCAAGAATTTAACAAATATAAGAACAATTAAATTATTGTATTATTCTTATGTCAGAACAAGAATTGAATATGCAAGTATAGTTTGGGCCCCTTGTTCATATTCAAGCCATCGAAAGAGTTCAGCGAAAATTCTTAAAATATCTGATCTTCAAAATTGATGGAATATATCCAGAAAGAGGTATCAGCAGTACCCAATTATGTTATCGTGTAGACTTTGTATCACTACAATTAGAAGAAATTTCGCTTCTCTTACATTTTTATATAAATTATTGCATAATACAGTTGACTGTATAGATATTCTCAAACAACTAAATTTTTATGTACCACCTTATCCTCGTCGTAATACACTTATATTTAGACCACCACAGGCAAGAACAAATGCAATGCTTAAATCACCTATTTATGTAATGTGCCAAATTTACAACTCCGTTACTGATCACACAGATATTTTCAATACAAATCTAAAAAAATTATTGAAAATAGCAAACATTCACCTGGATATTTGAATATATTGCTTCGAGAAATTCTTATTTTTGGTGTTTTATTATTTCTTGTTATTGTTCTCCTATTGTTGTTATTTTATTATTTTAATTTTTTTTTCATTAGTTCATTGAATCTTTAATTATATAAAAAATTAAGTTTTCTCTTTCTAGTTGACTGAAGTAAGTTATAACCAATTTATTTTGTATGTATATTTACTCTTATTTCTGATATGAATTTATAGTATTTTTGTTAATTTTATAATTTTCCTATAAATGGGCAACTGTTGGACAATATAGCTAATATTATCATTATTAAGTATGCCAGCATTTTGTCGGGATTTTTCTATTTTGTTACATCCTATTAACATCCTTTAAAAAAAAATGAAGAGAAACGCATAACTAACTGATCAACATCGTAAATGACATGCAAAACCAACAATCTGCTCCCCCCTGTCTATTTGCAAGATTTGGTGGGATCCCAATTGTCATTTGTCCAGATATCACTCGTAGGCCATAAACGGCGGCAAACGCAGTTCGCAGGTCGCTGTGTGTATATTTGGCGGGAGTTAGTTTGTGAATGTGCCAAATCGAGTTGCGTCCTAACTAGTGATTCTCCAACTTCCACATTCGTTTAGGAGCAGGATATACTACACCCTTCGCAATTAGCTGCTCTCTGAATGGTGAGTTTGCTGTAAAAGATTGCCTTTATTGATGTCTTAGGAAGTGAAAAATTATCGGGTTTTCCGCTTTTATTCTCTTTGATGTACAGCGGAAGGATATTGGAAATTAATTAGATGTTATTAGCGCATCGACATTTTTATCTTTAATTATATATTATAACTTGCCATTTTAAATACTGATTTCCTCTGTTCTTATTATTAATATTAAACAGAGTAGGTCCTTCCGATTGTGGAATTAAATAATTAGTTGCCATATTGAATTAAAGCGGATGTATTTATTTCTAGTGAATAAGACCTGCCATCCTAAAGTTCATTAATGAAACGTTGTTATAATGTACCTACGTGATTTTTAATTAAAAAGTGGTCGAAGAGAGTTTTTGTAATATTTGAAAAGTGACAGATGCCGCTGGATAGGAGGAAAATTTATCTCGGGGTTTAGAGTCGCACAAATTTCAACAGGTTGGAGGTCACTAGTCGCTGCTCAGAAAATCAATAATGTAATATTCCGAACGTTTTTAAGGATTTGAATGTTCCTCAAGTTGATGTCCATAGATATTATCCAGAGTGTTGATAATAGATTTGAAAATATTTTGTGTAGTGTTATTTTCAATGTTTGTTGGGTTTATTTTTAGTTTTCTTCTTTTTTTATTTTACAAAGTAAAATTCAGTTAGAAAAACTATTTTATATGTACAATTTTTTATTCCATGACAAGTATTGCCAAAGACCCAAGTCACTACTATAAATTATATCAACAATTGCATCAACTATATTTGTTATATATTTTTTAATTTCACAAATTTTAGGAAGGAGTTAATAAAAATATTAAACGTCTATTATTCAGTATTAAAGTGAAATTAAATTTAAAAACATTTAAGGCGGCAGTTTAAAACTGACCTATTCAGAGTTCTGAGCCGTAAAGTATTTTGCTCAATACTATTTTCCCTAAGTTCGCTCGCTAGGCGAATATCAGGTCAAAGCGCTGAATAATAGAAACACATAAACAGCGATGTCAGTTTATATTCAAATTTCGATATATCTATTTTTTTTTTGTTGTTGTTAAAATTGAAATAGGTTTTTTTTTAAAATATGCCAATAATATTATTTCAACAACAACAACAGCTAGCACAAAAACATCCCATCTACGTTAAGAAGCTGCAATTTTAGGCTCTTTAAGCTCGCCTGCAATGTACTTTTAATGTAACCCTTATATCCATGTAACCGCCGAATGTCGGCAATGACAAGACTTTTATAGCACATCTTATAGAGGTTACATAGTAAAGAAAGGTTCTATCTGCAATATTAGCACTTTTTTTTATTTATGTGCATTTGTCTACATTTTATCTTTCTTGATACCGAAACGGAATGTCCTATTTGCATCGTAAAGGTACTAAAATGTTAAAAAGTTACTCAAAAAAGGTTTAAAAGATAATAAATATGTTTGCTAAAAATAGTTAAAAACTCGTTTATTTCTAAACAACAAATTTTCAGATCGGACCTTTCTTGCTAGGACGGCAGTATATAACTGCTCTGTTTTTGTATTTTTATAGTTGGGAGTAGGGTTATGAGTATCAGTCGAAGGTATCGATACTGGTATCATGTGAGATACTTTGTGGTAGAGGCATCGATACTGTTCGATATTATGTTAAAGCTATCGATATTATTTATAAGTATTGAGTAACAAAGTATCGAACAAGTAAAAAATTTTTTTAAATGGTTGAGAACCCCCATTCAACAGGATGAAGTGGGAAACTTAACTAAAAACACGAGTTGCACCAGTAAAGTATATTCTGTAGTTGACAGTTGTTAATGACACCCTTTCTTTCTCTACTGGTACTGTATCTGGTACTGATATAAGTTGTAGTGTCAATAACTGGCAATTTACTTTATAATTAAATTACAATAAAAATAATGGTAATGCTATGCAAAAACTAATATTTCGATAAAAATCATGCTATGTATGCAATTTTTAGGCTGAGCGCATGATTTGTACGGTAATATTACTAAGTATCAATTCGACGATAAATAGTATTGGTAGTTCAGTATCAATGCCTAAATATCGATACTTTCATTGTTTAATATCGTTACTTCTATAGTATCGGGGCATCGATAAGATCCCTATTAACGTGTAAAATGTAGGCAGTCATTTAATTTTATCTTCTCGTTTACAATGATTTTTTTTTATCTGAAACAACAGACAATAAATTAAAAAATATGTTTCTATTTTATTGAAAAGAAGAAAAGACCTTATCAAACTTATTCAAACGTATAGTTTACAAATTCTTTAAAATCTCAAATTGGTTTTGTTATGACTTATGACAAACGAATGGCTACGTTAGAAATCAATACGATGTTCACAGTACTTCTCGTGGATACTTTTTTAGCAAATTACTTTATTACGTTGTGTTATCACAACAGGTAGGATAAATACGTAAGTAACAAATAGAAGTTTTACGAGGTTTTGATTTCCCTTAACAACTTCTCATGAACGTTGTATTTACGTTGTATGGTAATGTTATTACGTTTCCTTAAAACAACATCGCCGAAAGGCTTGGCAACGTTATGTGCAGGTTGGGAATATTTATACAAGCCAAATAGTAGTTTGTCCAACAAGAGTTGATAGGTAAAATTACCAAATTGCGCGGAAACAAAGTTTAAGCACAACGCCACATAGGGGGAGTGCGATACAAGTAAACCACTCGAATTGTATAGTATATTTTTTATACCAAACAGTGAAAAAATTTACATTTTAGAAAGTAATTTAGAGGTTATCACCATAAAATGACAATTTTAAATATATTTAACAAAAACATTTCAATTTCTAGATTTTACTAATTTATAAAATAAACTTAAAAAGAATTTGGCTTCGACACGGATTTGAACCACAAACCTTTCACTCGGGAACAAATCCTATTACATTTTTGTATAAATTGTTTAAACTTTTATTTATATTATTCTCAAAGTTGCATTATTTATACTAGCGTCGGCAACTGCTGTGATTTATTTTAAAAATGTCTACCAAAATTTAGCTCCTTATCTTTTATAGTTTTCAAATGTATTTGAAACTAAAATGCAATTAAATAAAACTACGTTATTTGTTAATGCCAATTTCCTTCTAAACGTACCTGCACCTACACAGATACATTCAAAACTTCAAAAGATGTGTTGAAAATTATAGATTTTTTTTAAAGAATTGTAAAATAAAGAACAAATAAAAGTAATGTTACAGGTATAGTTGGAAATATTTTTTTTCTTTGATAATAAAAAAGTTTTTAATATCGAATAAATATAGGTAAAACTCCCAGATTCTGCGACTATGCCCAAAATCTAATTAACTCATTTGAGGATGGATTAAAGTTTAAAATTTACTGTTCTTCTCTTTATCTAAAAGGGACCAGTGGATTTCATTGTTTTTTACGTATTTGAGGCACCTGTAAAAAAACTCAAACTTCGAGATCTTAACAAGTCCTAATTTGAGATATTCTCTCAAATTAACATGCTCCGATATGGCCTGCAAAAGAAAAGAGGCCAGATGTGAATCAGATCGAGCACTTCACGTTGAGTTTTGGACTGAATCTATGGACTGTACAGTTCAAATCTCACAAAAATCGTAGCGTGTAGGGCCCCTTTGAATATTATCCGCGTACAAGTGGCTATTACAGTATTTCAACACAGTAGGAAATTGTGAGGTATATAGACTAAAACACAATGGACCTAATATACTGGCCTGAGGTACGCCAGAAGTGACCTTCAGCGAAGAAGAATAAATATTATCTGCACTATTTGGTTTCTTTGATGAAAGTATGATTTTAAAAGTGAGATAGAATGATTATCAAATTTAAAATATGGCTAGAAATATTTCATGGTTTATAGTGTCAAAAGCTTTTGAAAAATCTAACACTATTAAAAAAGTAATATTATCATTATCAATAGCCCTAAAAGTATCATCTGTTACATTAGATAAGGCTGTTGCACAGCTGTATCCTGCCCTAAAGCCTGACTGTTTATTAGGCAATATGTTACTGTTCTTTATAAAATCACTTATTTGTATTTCCATTAATCTTTTTAAAATTTTTGAACAAACAGGTAGAATACTAATTGATTGCAATTCACTAAAATCTTTAGGCACACTTACTTTTGGTAACGGCATAACTTTAGCAAATTTCCAAGCAGAAGGAAAAAACTTTTTGCTAAACATTCATTAATAATATATGTTATAAATGGAGTGATATAAGTGGATAGCAGCGTTGTAAAATTGTACTATTAATATCATCCATACCGTAAGCTTTAGATTTAATACTAAAAATAATATTATTGATAGCATCCTCGATAACTTCCTGAATTGAAAGTGTTCTGTGATATTCTATTCTATTTTTCTTTTATATTACAATTTTGGAATTTAAAATTTAAGTATGCTCTTTTTTCAGCCTTTATAGCATTATTTGTGAAATTTCTTAATTGTTTATAATATGACCAATATTGTGGTAGCTCTATCTCGAAATTTTTGCATAAGGATAATATTCTCAGTAATCCACGGACTATATTTAATTCGTTTTCTGATAATTGTTTTCTTATGAGCATGCAATTCTAGAACTGTCATTATATAAGTGTTTAATAAATTTACCATTTCGTCAATATCATGTACAGTATAACTAAAATCTCTTTGTAAGTTTTCAGTATTGATTTTTGTCAGACATCGATATGTAATTTTTATTTTTTCCTGACGTTTGATATAAAAATTGTTAAATTTACAATTAATAGCTGAATGGTCAGCAACTAGAGTGTGATCAACAGAATCATTGCAGAAGTTTGAATCTATATTTGTGATTATTAAGTCTAGCAAGGAAGTATCTCTTGTAGGCTCCTTAAGTAGTTCTCCTGTTCTTTTTGAACATGGTCTTCTTATAAAGGAAATCCCTACAGCTACACCGAAGTAGCAAAATTGGACGACAAAAATGCTTGTAAAGGGGTTTTTATTTTTATAGACGTCTAGAAGCATATTATTTCATTGCCAGCAAAAAACGAAAAAATACTTCGGTAAGAAACAATATTTTGAATTTGACAGGTTAGGCGACACCCTTCCCCTGTATCCAACTACAAATAACAAGCAAAAAACACATTTTCCAGTCACATGAGAGACTATTACTAGAATACAAAAATGTAACTCAATCTGATACGCTTCTAGGAACTTCCTTTCATTCTTTTAATTTAAGCAAGCCACTGAATAAACAAAGGATTAAAATGAAATCTAATTCAAAGCCCAATTTTCGAATTATCGCTAGCAGTTATCTAGTTCAAACGCTTTATTATGCCTTCCTGTGTTCTTTAAGAATATTTTTAGTATAGATATCTACTTATAATGTATCAAAAATCGTTCTTATATTATGTTGCTAAATCTAACTTGCATACGAGCAGAGGTTCACTTTTTACTACTAATTTATTTTTATTAAACACTTCCTTTAGTAATCTATTCAATATAATCTATGCAGAAAACTAAGAGAAATTATTAAACAGGCGGTTTTCACTGATATAGATACTAAAATTAACTTTAAATATTGCGTTTGTTACGCAAGTATATTTTTATAATTTTGACATATAAAGTGACATTTTTTGTAATCGCAGCAAGTGTCAAAATGATTTACTTTACGCAAGCAGTTGCATAAAGTTGCTCGACCCGTAAATATTCACTCGTTACATAAAATACGGCATTTAGTAACTGGTTTCATAAATAGCTATTTTCTGATCGAAGTTATTTCAAATTTACATTAAGAGAATGATAAGAGTTGGGCATTACTGGCGAAACACTAGGTTTCTAGGTTTATTAGAGAAGTAGCAAAAACAGGGGCGCATATATAGGGAAAAGGGGTGCAAGTACTCCCTCAAGAATTATTAAACCTAACTTTTTATAGCATACTATTATCAAAAATAAAGTGTTAAATATGATCACTACCCCTCCCCCAGCGTTAAAGTATATTACCACTAGGAACGACAAGGGGGGGAGGGAGCTGTAGGATGTTTTGAAGAGACAAGACTGATTACCTCTACCTCCTAATACAATATATTTATTTAAGAAGAAGAATAAACATTTTATAATACAAAATCAAATAAATTTACAATGAGAAATTATTCCTAAAATATGCACCTAGATGCAAAAATATCTGTATGTAGACTTAAACTTTGGATGTGCCACTGAACAAACACATGTTTGGACGGATCATCTTGGTTCTTACGTATTTTTTTATGAACTCACTATACGAAATATTTGATGTCATCACCACTTTGTATGTCTAAACAAATTCAAGTTTCTTCTGGCGTACCTCAAGGAAGCCGTTAAGGTCCTTTGTTATTTAATATATTTATCAATGATATTACCAAAGTATTTATTAATTGTAAATTTTTACTATTTGCAGACGACCTTAGACTCTACTCTGCTGTTAGCAATCTCCAAGATTTTCTTAAAGTTCAAAATGATCTCGACAAATTACATGATTGGTATCAGGTCAATCAATTCTCTCTTAATATCAACAAGTGTAAATACCTGGTGTTTTCTAGACTTGAAACAACTCAAGCTCTATATCCACATTTATTATAAATTACAAACCTTTCTTCTAATATTTTTAATCATGCAGTGATCTAGACTATCTAGAGATCTTTGACTCCACTTTTTTCTTGGATGACATTTCTGTCTCGTAATAACTTTTTGTGAAATTGTTGTCAAAATGTGTATTTTTTCTATGACACCGTAATTAGATCTATTATTTACTTTATTGATGGTCTAACCGAAAAGGTAGATTATTTTAATGCTATTCTGTTAAATATTTTTGATGTCTTAGCACCAGTAAAATCTATTAATACAAAGAAACGGAAATCTGGCTGGCTTACAGATAATTTAAAAATCATGATGTCATTGCGTGATAAAGCTCTTCACAAATATAAGAAAACACAATTACTACACCATTGGGAGTATTATAAAACAGTTAGAAATTTAACTAATAACGCAATTAAAACTGAAAAAAAAGCTTATGTGGAGTTCTATATTAATAATTACAAACATAATTCTAAGCTCGTCTGGTTTAAATTAAGAGAAATAAATGTTTGTGGTAGAACGTCACACAAATGTTTGCCTTCAGATATAGCCGACAATCCGAATGAAATTAATAATCATTTTTTAAACATATCATCAACAAATAACCCTCCAGATCAAAACTTAATAAACTTTTATAATACCAATCATAAAAACAATTTTCCATATCTCTTCTCTTTTTCTCCCGTCAATCAAACAGTTATATATAAATATCTTCTAGAAATTAAGTCTAGTGCATCAGGTGCTGATCAAATTAATATTGAGATGTTATTACATTGCTGTCCCTTTATTTTACCCATAGTAGCTCATATTATAAATTGTTGTCTGTTACAATCTATATTTCCAGATACTTGGAAACTCTCAAAAGTATTTCCTCTACCAAAGAAAAAAGACGTAACCAATATGAACGATTTAAGGCCCATTTCTATTTTGCCAGTCCTTTCTAAGGTTCTGGAAAAAATTATGAAGTATCAAATTACTATACACATTAATAAGTATGCATTATTGCCAGCAACTCAATCGGGTTTCAGAAAAGATCATAGTTGTACTACAGCACTTCTAGACATCACAGATAACTTATTAAAGAATATTGACAATGGTAAAACTTCTGCACTCATCCTCCTGGACTATTCAAAAGCTTTTGACACCATCAATCATGAGATCTTGTTAAGTGTTTTACACTTTTGTGGGTTTTCACCAAAAGCTATTGATCTTCTCAAAAATTATCTTCAAAATAGACGGCAGTACGTAGAAACTAATACTGGCTCATCCAATACTAAAATAATTTCTCGAGGAGTGCCACAAGGTTCCATTTTGGGTCCTATCCTCTTTTCTCTTTATTCGGCTAATATTACCAGTTGTCTAGAACACTGCAAGCCATTTTTGTATGCCGACGATACACAATTGATGTATTCTTTTGACCACTTTGATTTTGAAGGAGCACAAGAATTAATAAATTATGATCTTAATTTACTAGCATCTGAATCAACTAGACATGAACTAACCATTAATCCTTCTAAATCAATCGTGCTCTTCTTTGGAAAGTACCGTCGTCAGATGGAGGAGAGAATCAATATTTCTCTAGCTGGTAACGATATTTCGTATTCGAGAACCGTAAAAAATTTGGGACTAGATCTAGATACTGAATTAAATTTTAAATCGCAAGTGAACAAGTGTTTAAAAAGAGCCTATTCTAACCTTAAAATGTTATATCCTAATCGACATATTTTTCCTGAAAAAACTAAGATTCAGCTCACCGACTCACTAGTGCTTAGTCATTTTAATTACTGCGATAGTGTTTACGGACCTTGCTTAAATAGTACTGAGGAACGCCGAATTCAAAAAGTCCAAAATACCTGTTTGAGGTATGTTTATGGTATTAGAAAGTATGACAGAATATCTCACAAGTTGGCCAGTGCAAAGTGGCTCGATATGAAAAGCAGACGTAAACTCCATGCTGTAACTCTCTTCCATAAAATAATCCTTTTTAAAACTCCCCCATACCTCTACCAAAAGATTACATTCAGAAATGATATACATAATTTAAATGTAAGACATCGTGGCTTGATTTCTCCTCCATTACATCGCACTTCCATCTTCGAGCGATCATTTTCTTTTCAAATATACAATTTATATAATAAAGTTCCCGCAACTATTAAATTATTAAATTTATCAGCCTTTAAAAAGTCGTATAGGAGATTAATTAATTAGACTATAAACCGCTTAGCATTTATGTACTCATCCTCCTTTAAACAAAATATAATTTTGGAATTTGAGACCTGGTGTGTGTCGAGCGAGTGAAATATATATTTTTTATATATTTTTATTTTTATCTCTTACAATTCAAACATTGTAACTTATAGGTATAAAAACCCTTGTTTAGTTTCTACGTTTGCCGCCGTCTTCGGATAGTCTTCAAGTAGAGAGGATATAAGTACTTAAAACGATTTTAATATTTTAATACTTTTGTTAACTCTTGGGGCTATCCGGGGTTGGCGACTGGCGAACAAAACCATAACCGAGGGCGTCCACTTTGTATCAGTTTTAACTGTCTGGACGTTCTCTTTTTGTATTTGCGTAATTATTTTTTTTTTTTATTGATGTAATTCTATTGTACACCGTAAATGCAAAATAAACTATTATTATTATTATTATTATTATTTTCCAATTTTAATTGATGGTACATATTTCAAATAACTTTTTGAGTTGAGGATGATCACCTCTACATACCACATTTTTGGTTAATGTCATCCTTCTCCTCCAATTCTTCTTTACTCTCAGAAGAAACTTTGATGGGTTCTGCATTGAATTATGTAGGGTCACTTGGGGTAAGAGCGCGTTGTTTGGGGTAAATGTATTAATAAAATTCTAAATAATAACACGAAAAAATTCAATGTTATTATGGCATTTGCCTTATGTTTACGGGATCAACAAAAATTTAAAAAATATTTTACTAAAATTTATTATAAATGCCAATTGTTTGTTTCATTTAATTGTACCATAAACGTTGAAATGGTAATCTTATTTACTATTTACTAGTAATTAATTACACTGTTACCTTCTTAAATAAACCTTTTTCCTACTACATTCCACTTTAAAACCATTATTTTATTTGTTTTTAGATATCTTAATCGAAGCAACATGGCGAACGGACCCCGAAATTTTTTTCATCGAAACTTACTCACCATCCTAACAGTAGCAGGAGTAGTTGGAGGTACCATTACTGGCATCGTCATAAGAGCAACCTCAGGTGGTCACTGGAGCAAAAGAGATGTTATGTACCTAGCTTTTCCTGGTGAAATCTTCCTTCGGATGTTGAAGTGCCTCATTATTCCGCTGTTGATGTCTTCAGTTATTCAAGCAATTGGCTCGTTGGACTTAAGTTTATCGAGAAAGATTGCGATTCGTTCGATATTGTATTACGCGACTACCACAGTGTTTGCAGTTGTATTGGGCATTTTTCTTGTGCTAACAATTCGACCGGGAGTTGGTGCAACGCCGTGGTCTGGAGACGAGTCGGAAAGGGTGACACGACACGTGCTTACGCAAGATACACTACTTGATTTAATACGGTAAGTTAATCACTAATGTGCATGACCTGCACGAATCATTTTCATCGTACTTACGAGCACCTTCCCATTTCAGTTGGTCCACCTATTGATATTTAGGAAATTCGTATTTAAAGATTAAAAATATAAATACTGCATGAACTTTCCAATTTTTATTCGTTAAATAATATGTTTAATATCGTTTAATAACAAAAAATACGTATAAAACATTAAAATATTTATTTAACATAAAATAAAAAAAAAAATTAAACAAATAGTTGGAATCAAACGATAATCAATTTTAAAGTTTACCATTGAGTAATATCACCATTATTTTTTATTACAACTGAAATTCTTTGCGGTATGGTATTAACTAAGCCTTGGCAAAATTCTGGTGTAAAAGAACCCCAAATATCTTGAAGTTTTTGTTTAAGTTTAGGTATTGTTCTTGCAGGATGTTTTCGAAGTACCTTTTTCATCTCATGCCACAACGTTTTTATTGGTGATAAATCAGGACTACTAGAAACCCATTCCAAAAGTGGGATACCGAAGTCTTCCATCCATTTTAGGGCTTTTTAAGACGTGTAACATCCTGTTCCATCCTGTTGAAATACAAAAACTTTCCCTGATGTCAAATATAATTTCATAGTCGGTAAAAGTGATTCCTCCAAAATGTCCAAATATTTATTTGTATTTACAATTCCTTCAATAAAATGCAGTTTCCCTATTCCTTTCGATGACATGCTGCCCCAGACCATGACCGATGCGGTAAATTTTACTTTTCTTTTGAGACAGTCTGAATGGAACGCCTCCATTATATTGCATCCCATTGATGAGAAGTCCAACTCATATGGTCTTCTGCCCATCTTAATCGATTTGTTTTTCTGTTTTGCAGTTAGTAGTGGTTTTTCTTTAACCTGTAACAATATTGTCAATTTTAAGCAAACATATTTGATTGTTTTAGTGTGTTAAATCCATTTTTTTAAATTTTTTATTATTATAAATTTACTTTGTAAGTCCCAAATCCCAGTTTGCAAGCTTCCCTATGACATGAAGATCTCGAAATTCGTCTTCCAACAGTATCACTTTACTGAGCACTTAATTCAAGGTAATTAGCCCGACGGTTGGTTTCAATAATTCTTCTCAATGCTCGTCTATCGGCATTTGTAATCTTGCTTTTTTTTAACATGACGGGGCTTTGGGCTGATTGAACCAGTAGTTTTTTATCTTCTTTCTTACACTATATCGTGTAAATCCAATATATTTGCAATTTCCGAGTTCGATTTTCCAGAATTGCAATGTTTTATAACAAGAAAACGTATTTTTTCGTTAATAATTTTTTCTCTACTCATTTTACTAGACAGAATTAGCTTAAAAGAAGTTTTTCTACGTTCATGCAAAAAACAAACTATTGAACTATATTTAGTGAAAAAACTGGTTCTTTGTTGCACTAGTGATGAAATGTGATAAAATAAAGTTACCTTTAGGATTCTTCCTGAACTTACATTGTAACATGTAACCTAAATAAATATAACTCACAATATAAGTCTGACATATAAGATAAATATAATATTGGTTATTAATGATATAGTTTTAAAAAAATAACTTATATATTAGCTTCATAAGCAATAGTTCTCTTGTTACTGCATGTTGTGCTTGTACACCTACCAGGTGGACAGAGAACGTCAAATAATGAGGGGACAGACTTGAAGAGAACTTATTTATTTAATATAAAAATATAGACAATTCACAAACTTATTAATGTCAATTCAATTATAAGTCATAACTTTTTTAAACTAAGGTAACATAAAACGAAAATAAAGTACATCAACAATACGGAGTACCAGTAACTTGAGTCAGTAATACTCAATTCCCAACACTGCATATGATAAATTTAACTTTGGATGAAATGGTAACTTACATTGTAAATGTAACTTAAATAAATATAATAAATTTAAAATATTTTTTTATTGACTACCCTTAACATTTTAATTTAGTTTTATTATTTAAACTGCTTAAAACTAATTTTAGTAATTCTCTAACATACATTTCTACCAGTAAATCTTCTCTGCCAAGTCTAAATTTCAAACTCTCTATCACCTTGTCATAATTTTTAGAAGTAGCAGAACAGCTTTCAATGAGTTGTCTGGCTCTAGATTTGGGAGTGGTGGCCTGAATAAGGTATTGAAATTGACAAGGGGGTAGCCATGTGTGAGTTGAGGTAATTTTAAGGTGAAGGGGGAGAAAAAGTCCTTTATATCTCACAAGGAATTCCTTGGGAGATATAAAGGACTTTTTCTCCCCCTTCACCTTAAAAAAAAAAAGTATTGAAATTTGCCATCCTTCTCTATTTGGTCATCTTCATGGATTCTTCGGAACTGGTTCCAAAAAGACAACCACTCTTTCAGGTCTCCGTGAATTTCTTAAATTCTATTTTTGGTAGCTTGAGGCGTCTTTTACTAGTAGAAGAAAGACTGCTAATGGAGTGAATTTCAGCTGTATCATTGTGAAGTTGAAAATTGACTTTCATTTGCAGTGTGTGAAATTGCTTAATAACATCATCGATCTCAGACTTCATTCTATCAACATCGGCATCAAGAGTATCATCGTCCAAAACAAAATCGATAATTTTCTTATTTATTTCATTCAAGGATTCAAATGTACCTCCAAGGGTCTTCATATTTCGTTGAACCGTGAACATATCTGGTTCATCGCTATTGAGTTATATCTGAACTTCATTGAAATGTCTCTTAAATAAGTTGGTATACATATCTTACTCCTTCAGAAGCTTCTCCATCTTAGTATTCTTCTGAATGTCTCAAAGTTGCAGCATCAAAAAAATATCACGTCGGGGTCACCAAATGTTGCGACAGAGAACGTCAAATAATGAGGGGACAGACTTCTTGAGGAGAACTTATTTATTTAATATAAAAATATAGACAATTCACAAAATTATTAATGTCAATTCAATTATATAAGTCATAACTTTTTTTAAATCAAGGTAACATAAAACGAAAATAAAATACATCAACAATACGGAGTACCAGTAACTTGAGTCAGTAATACTCAATTCCCAACACTGCATATGATAAATTTAACTTTGGATGAATTGGTAACTTACATTGTAAATGTAACTTAAATAAATATAATAAATTTAAAATATTTTTTTGTTGACTACCCTGATTTCATTCCAGTTTATAAACATGTTTGTAATAAAATAAACATAATGCATTGCATAAATTGGTAACTCCCATTGTAAATATAACTTTGTTCAACATACATCTCATAATCAACTTGATATATTTTTGTCTTTTTCTACTTTCATCTAACAGTTGAATTATTTATGTTTTTTGAACGAATTAATTCATGTATTCGATTCATAAACCTTAGTTTTGTTTTCGATACAAATTTGACAAAATTTACTTTATTTAAATTGATAATTTTCATTTTAAATGTAACCCCTTCAAATATATATCATAAGTGTGTTATATATTAACGTTAACTACCCTCATTTCATTTCAATGAATTATATTTATGAACATGTTTAGATAAAATAAACATAATGGATTCCTTAATAGTATGTTGTTAAAATAATTATACATGCATCCACTAATTTTGTATAAATTGGTAACTTTCATTGTAAATGTAACTTAAACAAAAAAATATCATTAGTGTGCCATATTTTAACGTTGACTACTCTCATTTCATTTCAGTGAATTATGTTTATAAACATGTTTAGATAAAATAAACATAATGGATTTCTTAATAGTATGTTGTTAAAATAATTATACATGACATCCACTAATTTTGCATAAATTGGTAACTTTTATTGTAAATGTAACTCAAACAAATAAATATCATAAGTGTGCCATATTTTAACGTTGACTACTCTCATTTCATTTCAGTGAATTATGTTTATAAACATGTTTAGATAAAATAAACATAATGGATTCCTTAATAGTATGTTGTTAAAATAATTATACATGACATCCACTAATTTTGCATAAATTGGTAACTTTTATTGTAAATGTAACTCAAACAAATAAATATCATAAGTGTGCCATATTTTAACGTTGACTACTCTCATTTCATTTCAGTGAATTATGTTTATAAACATGTTTAGATAAAATAAACATAATGGATTCCTTAATAGTATGTTGTTAAAATAATTATACATGACATCCACTAATTTTGCATAAATTGGTAACTTTTATTGTAAATGTAACTCAAACAAATAAATATCATAAGTGTGCCATATTTTAACGTTGACTACTCTCATTTCATTTCAGTGAATTATGTTTATAAACATGTTTAGATAAAATAAACATAATGGATTCATTAATAGTATGTTGTTAAAATAATTATACATGCATCCACTAATTTTGCATAAATTGGTAACTTTCATTGTAAATGTAACTTAAACAAAAAAATATCATTAGTGTGCCATATTTTAACGTTGACTACCCTCATTTCATTTCAGTGAATTATGTTTATAAACATGTTTAGATAAAATAAACATAATGGATTCCTTAATTAATATGTTGTTAAAATAATTATACATGACATCCACTAATTTTGCATAAATTGGTAACTTTCATTGTAAATGTAACTTAAACAAAAAAATATCATTAGTGTGCCATATTTTAACGTTGACTACCCTCATTTCATTTCAGTGAATTATGTTTATAAACATGTTTAGATAAAATAAACATAATGGATTCCTTAATTAATATGTTGTTAAAATAATTATACATGACATCCACTAATTTTGCATAAATTGGTAACTTTCATTGTAAATGTAACTTAAACAAAAAAATATCATTAGTGTGCCATATTTTAACGTTGACTACCCTCATTTCATTTCAGTGAATTATGTTTATAAACATGTTTAGATAAAATAAACATAATGGATTCCTTAATTAGTATGTTGTTAAAATAATTATACATGACATCCACTAATTTTGCATAAATTGGTAACTTTTATTGTAAATGTAACTCAAACAAATAAATATCATAAGTGTGCCATATTTTAACGTTGACTACTCTCATTTCATTTCTGTGAATTATGTTTATAAACATGTTTAGATAAAATAAACATAATGGATTCATTAATAGTATGTTGTTAAAATAATTATACATGCATCCACTAATTTTGCATAAATTGGTAACTTTCATTGTAAATGTAACTTAAACAAAAAAATATCATTAGTGTGCCATATTTTAACGTTGACTACCCTCATTTCATTTCAGTGAATTATGTTTATAAACATGTTTAGATAAAATAAACATAATGGATTCCTTAATAGTATGTTGTTAAAATAATTATACATGACATCCACTAATTTTGCATAAATTGGTAACTTTTATTGTAAATGTAACTCAAACAAATAAATATCATAAGTGTGCCATATTTTAACGTTGACTACTCTCATTTCATTTCAGTGTATTATGTTTATAAACATGTTTAGATAAAATAAACATAATGGATTCCTTAATAGTATGTTGTTAAAATAATAATACATGACATCCACTAATTTTGCATAAATTGGTAACTTTTATTGTAAATGTAACTCAAACAAATAAATATCATAAGTGTGCCATATTTTAACGTTGACTACTCTCATTTCATTTCTGTGAATTATGTTTATAAACATGTTTAGATAAAATAAACATAATGGATTCATTAATAGTATGTTGTTAAAATAATTATACATGCATCCACTAATTTTGCATAAATTGGTAACTTTCATTGTAAATGTAACTTAAACAAAAAAATATCATTAGTGTGCCATATTTTAACGTTGACTACCCTCATTTCATTTCAGTGAATTATGTTTATAAACATGTTTAGATAAAATAAACATAATGGATTTCTTAATAGTATGTTGTTAAAATAATTATACATGCATCCACTAATTTTGTATAAATTGGTAACTTTCATTGTAAATGTAACTCAAACAAATAAATATCATACGTGTGCCATATTTTAACGTTGAGTACCCTCATTTCATTTCAGTGAATTATGTTTATAGACATATTTAGATAAAATAAACATAATGGATTCCTTAATTAGTATGTTGTTAAAATAATTATATATGACATCCACTAACTTTGCATAAATTGGTAACTTTCATTGTAAATGTAACTCAAACAAATAAATATCATACGTGTGCCATATTTTAACGTTGACTACCCTCATTTCATTTCAGTGAATTATGTTTATAGACATATTTAGATAAAATAAACATAATGGATTCCTTAATTAGTATGTTGTTAAAATAATTATATATGACATCCACTAACTTTGCATAAATTGGTAACTTTCATTGTAAATGTAACTCAAACAAATAAATATCATAGAATGCCTATACTCTGATCTAAAAAATTATGTTGTTGATCATGTAAATATAAGATTCCTAATTATATAATTGAAAGAATTAGCTTATTAGCTAATTTTATTTATATTTTATTTCTCCTACGTACTAATTAATTTATTTATAATTATGAACTATTTATGTTTCACACTTCTAATTTATTTATCACTTCATCTTTACTTGACAATATTTATATTCAAACTTCCACACTGTGTACAACAAAAAATTCAGTTAATATCGAGTCTTAGGGTAGGCGGCAGTGGCAGTGGAAATACAGATGGCGCGGCGGCTTGCAATAAGAAGACCAGGGTCGTACTTTGCGCGACAATATACAGAATGTTCGGAAATGATAAGCAAAAAATTTAAAGGTTGATTCTACTAGAAAAAATAATAGGACTAAAGTTTATATATCTTACATTTTTTCTTAGGCTATTCTCATATAAAAGTCAAATTATGATATTGTTATTAAACATGTAATAAGATAAATATAATTAATTGCTAATTATATGCTTTATATTCGCTTCAATGCATATGATAATTTTAACTTTGCATAAATTGGTAACTTACATTGTAAATGTAACCGAAACAAATAAATATAAGTTTGTCATATTCATGACTACTATGATTTCATTCCTGGGAATTATTTCTATAAAAATGTGTGTGATGATGTTAAACTTAGGTTTGGATGCGTTAAATACAATTATGGGAAGCAGTTTTCTTTATTTAGAATTTAATAAACAATGAACTTTTTTACAACCACGTTTTTATGTTACCTTTTAGGTTAACTCTATACATTGACATGACACACGTCATACATCATTATTAAATCTTACTAACCCTAAAGTTTTGCCAATTTACTAACAATAAATGTAGATGAAATAGTTCTATTGTCAATTTCTAACAGATGAAATAAACATAATGGATTCCTTAATATTATGCTGCAGATATTATTACACATCACATAACATAAATAAATGTAACTTTGTTCACCAATTAAATATAATATCGTAGAAAAAATTTGACATATTTCTTATCTAAAAGTTGAATTAAAATAGAATCAATGTATATTTTTTTAAAAAATTACCTCATAGATTCGCTTTGTAAGAATTTGTTTTCATTTTATTGTTATTACTGAGAAAAATATTCAATGTCTTATCCATGTAATTTTTTTTTATTTGACGTTTGAAAATAAAATAATTGTATGCATTTTTTTTGCAGAAACCTTTTCCCGCCAAATATTATTCAGGCCTGCACTTCTCAGGTAAGTAATCCTAAAATCTTGGTTAATAATAAATGTTATGTATTGGCTTTTTTTAAATTTCGTCCTTAAAATAGTACTTTTTCACAAGCCTTAATCTTTTTCTCTAACTCGGTAATAGAAAGGTACCCCTTGGAATAAAAATCGATCTGTTTCAAGCAATTTTTTGATTTTTTTTTTTTTTTTGATAGAATATTTTGCCTATTAAAAATTTTAAAATCGTTACATGTGAGCTGTTTTTTTTTAAATTTGACCCAACTCTTTTAATAAGAGGTTGCTTGTCCCATTAACTTATTTCCAAAGCTGATATTATTAGTCATTATTCAACTAAATAGTAAAAACAATCTTATGATTCATTTATATGTGTGTTGATGAACGAAAATCAGCATGGTTTAGATTTTGTAGTTCGTTTTATTTAGCCTCTTTTATGAAAGAAAAATCAATGTATTCATGATTATCAATTACAAAATATTATAAACTTCACTTTCAAATGAAGTAAAAATTAATTCCTCCGTTGTGAATAATATAATTGGTGAATTTGTTTGACAAAAAATAAGAAACCAAAATATTCATTGAATAATATAAACAAATACGACTCGTGTATTTGATAATTATTGAATTTATAATTTTCTTTTTCTCAAAAAAATGTTGCTTTAAGAAACTTTGTTTCTCATAATCGAAGAATTTTGTAATTTGATAATCTTCACTATGCTTGTATTGTGTTTAAAAATCCGATAACAACCTTAATGAACTATGTAAGGTACTAGAACTCCTTAGTACCCCCTTTTAGACTTATTGTTGATGCATTAAACCTCCAATCTATCTTGTCTACACAACAGTATTCTAAAAGACGACTCCAATCGATTTGTTTGGAAGCATTCTATCTATCTATCTATTTATCTTTTTTTTGTCAGGTGAGGAACATTTTATATGCCGCCCCCTGCGCTTTGGATCTGATCTTAAATCTATCGCGACAGGGAGTATGGGACTCCAGGACTCTCTGAGTGCAAGTCCCTGTTTACCCACTAAACCTCATCTCATATCCCCACCTTCCTTTTCTGGAACCGCTCTCGCATTACTTCGGAAAAGGAGGTTGTCTTTGGTATCTGGTTTTCTCAGTTTCTACTCTTTTTCTTTTATCTCGAGAATCGACCGGACTGTACTGTAGACTGCTTTCCATCCTGCTTCAGAATCCAGTAGGCTGGCTGTCAAATTTTCTGGGTTAAAGGTATACCCCATTGTATCTTCAAATAGTCTTCGTTGATGTTCCCACTTAGATTATATGAAGAGGGTGTGTTCCGCGTCATCTATTTCTTGACAGTACCCACAACTGTCGGTTGCTGCTCGGTTCCGTTCAAAGAAGTATTTGTTAAAACCTCCATGGCCTGTGAGGGTGAGCCAGTAGTCCACCTCGCCATATGTTCTATTCATCCAGTTTTCAATGCTAGGAATAAGCCTCCAAGTCCACCTTCCTTTACTGCTCCGGTTCCACGAATCCTGCAACTGCAACTTTTTTTGAGACACTTTGATAGATTTTTTGTCCTTTCTTCAATCAAAAATTTGATTGGAGTGACTCCTGCTAATACACCTGCTGCCTCAGACGACACTGTTTAATATGCACTGCAGATCCTTAAGTTTACGTTTCTTTGTATTCTCGTTAGTTTTAATAGGAGATTGTTGTTGGTGCTCCATACAGTAGCTGAGAATAATGTCCTTTACTACATCTAACATAAAATCTACATCTTCTGATAATATGACCTACTCTAAAGCATATAAAACAGCAACTTATCCTCAAGAGTCATCTTTTGAGCATCTGAACAGACATGACTTTCTCGGCTAGTAATTTGTACATAACAACTTTCTTATTTTTTTTTTAATACAGTTGTTGTTTTCAAGAAAGAAACGGCCGCTCATATTATTGTGTATTTATTCGTTATTTTTCCTTGTTTTTTAGTCGCAGACCTTCCTAATAGAACCAAAAAATGAAACTGGTAAGTACAATAAATATTTTAAATGATTAATAATGCAATAACTATAAACTTTTTAAGTAAAGAAAATGGGACACGAGTACTGGAAATTTGAAGAACGTTACGAACCGACAACAAACGTATTAGGTCTGGTGGTATTTTCAATTACCTTTGGAATAACGTTAGGAAAAATGGGCGAAAGAGCCAAAATTTTATTGGAATTTTTCAATGCACTTAGTGAGATCATGATGATAATAACTAGTTGGGTAATTTGGTAAGATAGTTAAATAGTCTCTAATGACGTAATTGTAAGGTGTCTACTAGACAAGCCATATAAATAAGATTTCCGAAACAATAAATACAAAATCGAAAATTTTTTTGATCATCTACACTAGGCCTGCACAACTGAGATTTTCAAAGGGCCAGTTCAAAAAAAAACCGTAGGTGTAGGAGGGCCAAGAACGGTTATAATTTTTTTAAGCGGCGGGAGAGGGGGGGGGTTGTAGACAGCAAAGGATTTTCGCGGGTGCAACGCTTAAATATGTTATTATTATTATTTATTAAGTTTCATTTTAAATACAACAAAGTTTTATTCAGTAGTTTTTTTGTGTTTTACCACATATATGATTTTATATCTATTAAGGCAATTAATAAATGCAATTTTGTTACTGAAAAATGTATACTTTGATGTAGGCGGGCCAAATTGGTAAAGGGACAAAAGGTCAAGAAAATGACAATGGCGGGCGGCAAGTGGCCCGCGGGCCGTATGTTGTGCAGGCCTCACGCTGGGTGCCATGATAACTGAGTTTAAGGTAGCATTCTTAAGCAAACACGATCAGGACCATATATATTTTTTGTCGTGATAATAAATAAAATAATTTTTATGGTTTATCGTATACGATACCAAAATTGTTTTTGGCAATAAAGGTTAGGTATTAGCTACAGAGAGACCGTTTGATAATATGTTGCATATTTATTTGTTAATTTACATTGCGCCCAGCTATATTTCAGTTGACCAATAATTTGTCTTTTTCATAAACTTAAGTAAATTTAAGAGGCTTAAAATTAAAAATTCACCCAATACACTGCGCACGCGCACTCTGCTCTGCTTTTACATACTTTCACATCTAATTCCTTCTAATCCTTCTCATAAGGTATCAGTTGTCCAGGAACAGTAGAACTTCAATACTGACTTGGTCATACAGTCCTTTTTAATGTTTTTTGCGATAGTTTTTCTCTCTGATTCCACTGTAGGCATTCTTAAATCGGTGTGAGGGTATGAGTTCCTTACATACCAAAGAACGTTTACTATTGCCCTTAGTATTTTGTTCTGAAAACGTTGTATTTATGTTTGTTTTACTGGCACACCCCCAGAGCTTCAGTATTTGTTTATATATTAAAAGTTTAATTTCGATTGAAAGTCTTGATTTTCTATTCATCAACCAGTATAATTTTCTATATTTAATACCAAACTCTTCCCGTTTTTCTTTGTGTTCTTTTTACTTTCATTTAATGTATTTCGATATTTAGTATGCCCATATATTTGATAACGTTTGCATTGGAGTATCAATTTTGGGCTTCTCACTGGCCCAGTTTGGATTATTAGGTTTTGTAATGTCTTAATTTCGTAAATTCTTTTAATATCTTTGCCATTTTCAAATGTTTACACAGCAATGGCTTTTTTATAACAGTTATCATGACTTGATTTCCTCTTTCTTCTTTATTAGTTTCTCTCCGTTGGATAATAACCATATCTAAGATTTTAAATCCATTGTACTTTAATTCTTCAGCTATATTGTCAAGTTTGACAAGAAACACCCTTGAGGCGTTTTTGAGCATATAATATGTTAAAGAAGATAGATACTGAAGATGAATTGTCTTGAACAATTCACTATCGTTTTCCTAAACACTCGATGACTGCGCCACTTTCAGCAAGTGGCCACGACTAGTTAACAGGTGTATACTCATTTGAATTTATAGAATTTCAAAAAAACGAGGCTGGTTTATTACTGTGCGAGGTGTTATGTGATAGGCCACCGTTTACCAAAGACTAGATAATGGTTAGGACACCTGACAAATTTCCTTTGAAGTTTTAGATTAAAATTTGGTGAACTTAGTTCCTGTTTTCTAGTGTTTTGCATCTAAAATCTGTAACTATTTTCTTAAACTTATACCAACTATATTTTAGCCAACCAGCAATTTGTCTTCATGATATATTTAAGTAAACTTAAGAAGTTTAAAACTAAAAGTTTATCTGATGATATCTTCTCTTTGTTCTAATGTTTCAATTTCGGAACTATGAAAGGCACACTGCTTGCATACTATAACGTTTGCCATTGAGGACCTGTTATCGTTATCTACCAAGGCTCCCTTACCCCCCTTGAAGTCAAGATTGTTAGCACCCAAACTTTATTATCTACTTTCATATGCACACACATAAAAAATCTTAACCTTCATAATACCACTTGTATAGCGTAGGTCTGGTGGTCGCTGGTTCTTAATCTATTACTATTACAGGTCAAAGTTAACCGATTATTAAAAAATCTTTTAATTCTATCATCGCCTAAAAATATAATTTTCGAAAATCATATTGAAAACTCTGCTGTGCACATACTAACAAAAGTATTTAGGAATATAGGAGTTAATAAATAATTCCGATGGTTTTGGTCAGTATGGTTCAATAGCTATGCCATATTGTTTCGCTTCACATTGCTGATTTTATATTTTAAATACTAAAGGTGTTCGTTGATGCAAAAACTCGATTAACGTAGCCAATTTATTGCACGATTTATAGTTTTGAATAGCGTTTTAATTAAAGTAATACAATTTATCGAAAATTGTTTAGTCATTCTATTATTAATACTGGTGCATCATTAGTGCAATAGTTTTTTTCAAATAATATCAACCTTCCGGACCTAGAAAATGTGTATGTGGGGAATAAAAAATAAAATGACCTAAAGTATAGTTTCTGACTAATAATAAGAAAAATAAATCTGTTCAACAAAACAAAAGAATAGGAAACTGAATATAACCTTTTATTATATACTCGATTGTATAATTTAAAACTATTGCCTAGAGATTTAAAAAGTATACTGTACTAAAATTGAAACAACACATTAGTCCTTAATGAATTACTATGAAATAAAGCTGTGAACAAAGGAAATAATGCCAAATTGGCATTCTTCTCCCAATCAATTAACCCCTCAAAAATAAAACAAGAAATCCCTAATTTTTTTATTTCATTTACTTATTTATTTTTTAGGATTTCGCCAATCGGAGTATTTTTCTTAGTAGCAGCTAAGGTATTAGAAGTAGCGAGTTTTGCTGATCTCATTGGTAGACTTGGACTATATTTTGCTACTGTAGTAACAGGATTATTTTTGCATGGATTTGGCAGTCTATCTATTATTTACTTTGTTGCTGTGCGAAAGTTACCTTTTAAAGTTATTATTCAACTTAGTCAAGTCTTAGTCACTGCATTTGGTACGGCATCTAGGTAGGAAGACCCACTCGTGCATGCAAGAATTTTTACACCATTTTGAATTGACTTTTTTGTTATTTCTTAGATATGTTAATTAGGTAAATAATTTTAAATATTTACAATTTTTTAATAATGGAGAACAATGTTTTTCACTGTGATAATTATATAGGAAGTCTAATAAAAACTGCATGTCGATATCTTTTTCCATTCTCAAGTTATAAGCTGTTAAAATGTGTCAATTTATAGATATTTTCTATTTTTGATTTGTATAATCCTAATAGGTCTCTAGCTAACGAATAATAACAAATTTAAACCTCATTCATCCAAAATTCGGAAAAACATTTATTTATATTTTTGTAATATTTCCGCATGGTAATAATTAGCTACATATTCATTAGGTATTATCTAATTAAATAAATTTGATTTTAATGATTTGTATTGAATTTTATAGTTCAGCTACCATGCCCATCAGTATATCGACCATGGATAAGATGGGTGTAGATCCAAGGGTAACCAGATTTGTAATTCCAATTGGTGCTACGATTAATATGGACGGAACTGCTTTATATGAAGCCGTTGCTGCCATATTTATTGCGCAGTTAAAAGATATTCCGCTGACTTTTGGGAAAACGGTAGCTGTTTGGTAAGTATTTTTTCTACGATTACCTATGACCTAGTTCGGAAATAGGGTACGCCAGCGAAAACGTGATTTTCATCACTGTTGAGAGAATGTTAACTTTCGTCTCTAATAATGAAAGAAAGTAAAATTTTAATAGTTTTTCAAATATAATAATTAAACCTTTACATTTGTTTGTTTTTCCGACTCAGAAAAAGACAGAACTCAGATTTATCTGGCTTAGAATTAAAAAAAAAGATTTCTAGTAGTACTTATTTCGCCATCGACCAAAAAACATATACAGGGTGTTTGAAAAAGTTAGAAACGTTTTGTTGTTCCAAAAAGAAACTACATTGAACCATGTTTTATCGGACAAAGTACATTTATTTTTCAATAAACTATTGGGTGGTGAAATTTTTAAGATATAAGCTGGACCACCCTATATATTAGGTGTTCAATTGCGTAAGTTTAAACAAGCATAACAAAATTATACCATATTTCGTAATAAAAACTATTAAAAAAATTCTTAAAAAAAAAGATATAATTTCATGAAAATTTCTAAGCCGTCTCTGTCTAAAGCAAGCGACCTTCAGCTTGCCACCCGACTCATGCTCGAAACTACAGAATCTTCTAGGAGTACCGCTGACGCTCGTGAAACGGCTAGAACGGCCGTAGCGTACCGTTGAGTCAGAGATGGAATTTTCGGAAGCATCTAGAGACTTCTCATAGCAGAGTTGGACTTGGTATAAATAGCCCAGCTCATCGGCGGACAGTTTAGTTTATTATAGAGTATTGGACTGAAAAGTTAAATTAGAATTGTGAGTTAGTGTCTAAGTATTATATAAATTAATTAGAACATCACAAATAAATTGTAAATAGTGTGTTTAAAATAAATTCTGGATGCGCCACTTACATTTTTATGTTCGTTCAAATCCATTTTAAAGGGAAAGTATGTAAAGACTAGAATGAAACTATATAATGCTTGGCATTCTAAATTATACTTTTCACAGTTTAATAGACGCCCCCCTTAACCCTCATTTTAAATCATTTTTTTTTTCAGAATCAGTAGGTTTTATCTAGTTATAAAGGTTGATTTTTACTGATATCGTTTTTTGTTTCAGAGTTAGATTTTTTTTTTTTTCATTATTTTAACCCCCTTATCTTCCCATTTTTATTCAGTTTTTTAATTCCAACTCCCCTTAAGCCTCCACTTTTTGAATTAGATTTTTTTTTCAGAATTAGAGCTTGATTTTTACTAAAAATGTCATGTTTTTGATTTTATTTTTATTTCAACTCATTGTATTTAGATTTTTTCAAAATCAATAGGCAATAGAGCTTGATTTTTCCTGAAAATTTTAAGTTGATGTCATTTTTCATTTTTGACTTATTGTACGGACAAAAAACGTGACATCGGACGGACGGACATTTTTAAAGGTTGTTCAAAATTTTATGAGAAGGATTTTGGTAGAATTTTTTTTAAAATTAGTCCAATATTAAAATTTTAGTATCTATAATATTCAATATTAAAAATGAAACTAAACCTGTAATATGTTCCACATATTGTATGAAGCAAATGTATAAAAATACCTCGAAAAAACCACTAACAACATAAGTGAGGTCATAGTTTTTTTGATTTTGTTTAAATTCTGACACACACACTGAGTGCGCTTATGAATTCTCTCGTTATTTTCAGTTTTCTTTACCTAATAGTAGGAGAAACGTTTAAGAATAAGAATTTTTAGGAGGGAGTAGAAATTCAAAATGTTTTCTCTCCCCAATTTCAAGAATAGTTGTAAAAATATTATCTTTTTCAAAAATTGTAATTGTTTTTTAGTGTAACTGCAACAGCGGCAAGTATAGGAGCTGCCGGCATTCCACAAGCTGGCCTCGTTACGATGGTAATGGTACTAGACACTGTAGGACTCCCTTCCGAGGAAGTGATTAACATCATTGCAGTGGATTGGCTTCTGTGAGTATGAAATTGATAATTTGATGTCTCTCGTCCCACATAAAATACACTTGCCGATAGAATAATATACATTTTTGAGTATACAGGATGTATCACAATTATAATAAACTGATTTTTATGCATTTAAAGACATTTTTGTTAGTAGGCATACAGAAAAGACCTAAAATCATTCTAAATTATATAAAAAATTATGCAAATAACTAGGTTTTTAATCAATATTTATTTAAATTTTTTCAAATTCAAATTTATATCTGTAAAAACCAATTTTCAAACAGCAAAAATTTCATATTTTCTTAACACTCTCACTGCCCGCAACAAAAAATAGAAGAAGAAAAATAAATAAAAATTGTCATTTCTTTAAATACAATTATTTATTTTTTTCCATATTTTGAATCTCCCTGTAGATATCAAAGGTTTCTTGGCATCATTTTAATGAGCACAACATTGTCTAATTTAACCGTTTAAGAAATAGCAATATTGTCCCTATGAAATAGTAGGAACCATGTATAGAGCAATTACGTATTAATGGAACACCCTCTATAATTTGTTTCGTTAACTTTAATTCCGTAACTGATTCTGTAAAAGATAAAGACATGGATGTTGTTGGCAGCATGGCTGATTCAATATCCAAAGCTTGACATTGCAGATTTGTCACAACGTTCTAATGATTCTCGTTATCAAGTGTAAATAATTGTTTAATAGTAAAATGAGGAATGTCCAGTTATTTTAATTAATTCATTTTGAATAATACGTGGTTTGGATAAATGTGACACTGCGCTGAAGTGGTAAAATATAGAATTGTTATAGTCTCTACTATTAAGGCGGGCGATCGCCCATGTTAATTCCCCGTACAACTAACATATCAAATAAACGAAACAAATCGCACTTCAAAATAATGTTTGGTTTTCCTGAAAGCTTGGTTTGAAATAAAAGCTAATTATTAATTGACCTAATCGGCTAGGAACAACGCAGATCAAATATGCTATATGCCCTAACCACAGTTCCTAGGAATTTGTGCAGTAAGACAAAACTTAATTTGCCTTCATTCTCAATTCTAACGATTGTATGCAGATACGAGCGAAATTGTATTACGCAAAGTTAAGACAAGGGAATTGAAAAATATTTGACGATAATAAATTCCATTTAATATTTCCAACCAATATTGTTTTTATTAGTGTCTATGGCTTTGACCACTTAGGCCATTTGCCTGGAGAACCAGTAGTCTAATGCTCCATCTTGCAGGAGTGCTAGTACTTTAATACACGCCTATAGACAGGCCTTGTCACTGTTTCCCAGCGCCATTTTAGGATCAGCACTGGCAATTAGAACCCAACAGAGAATGGTTGTAGTAGACAATCCTACATATGCATCAGAATTATTTTAAAATAAATAAATTACAAAAATCCCTTTCAACGTTGGGGTTTGAACCGCAGAACCTTGGATTTGTAGATCTTAAAATATTTAATGACATACTGGGATAGAAGATGGATAACTTATAATTTATTGAAATGTTTATAATGTCCGGCAAAATTGGAATCCTACCTTTAATTCAAGACAATAAAAAGTAAAAGTGAAATCTTAAGCCTAAATTAGTGCCTGTCAGAGCAAGGACTATTCAAGTAATACAAAAAATCTGATGTGTCCAACACATGACTTTCCTATCTAGTTATTATAGGCTTTTTCCGGTTATTTTGTACAACCTATTGCAGCATCTCTATAAATGTTTAGAGGATAAACTAAATATATACATTGTCCACATACATCTACCGCGAAACACTTTTCTATAGATATTCATTGAAAATGAAAATACTGAAAAATTTAAATTTTGCACTTTTCCTACAATTTTTCCATTACGTTCCATTTTAAAAAAATCATGTATAAACAAATATTATAGAGATCGATATCGCAAACAACTTTTATTTCAACAATTTTCATAAAAATCAGAATTTTGCACATTTTGTCAAATTTTTCGAATACGGACCATTTCAGGAAATTTTTACATAAAGCAAAAATTATAGATAATAATATTAGAAGTAACTTTTATTTGAACAATTTTTTTCTTCAAACATAAATAACAGATATATTCCATAAAATATAAAAACGGCCTCCCATAAAGTACCCCCCCAGATGTTCCGACTTTGTCCAAAATCTAATCATTTCACGTCAAGCCGAAATAAAGTTTAAGTTTAAAATTTAATGTTTTTTTCTTTATCCATTTTTGAGTTTTCTTCAAATTTCGAAATTTACAGATTTTCTCAAATATCTCGAATACGGTCCATTTTAGAGAAATTATCTATAGGATAAAAATTATAGAGAATTATATTACAAACAACTTTTGTTTGAACAATTTTTATAAAAAAAAATATTTTTTTACATTTTGTCAAATTTCGCGAATACGGACCATTTTAGGAAAATTTTGTATACAACAAAAATTATAGATAATAAAATAAGAAGTAACTTTCATTTGAAGAATTTTCTTCCCCAAACGTAAATAACAGATATATTCCATAAAATATAAAAATGACCACCTATAAAGTACCCCCCCAGATGTTCCGACTCTGCCCAAAATCTAATCAGCTCATTAGACGTTGGAACAAAGCTTAAGTTTGAAATTTGGTGTTTTTCCGTGTATCGGTTCATGAGTTATGCGTTATACAGACACACACACACACACACACACACACACACACACACACACACACACACACACACACACAGACACACACACAGACACACACACACACACACAGACATCATCGCGAAAATAGTCAAAACGGATTCAGGGGACCTCAAAACGTAAAAATCCGTCGAAAACTCGAGGTCGAAAAAAATCATGATTCCTATACTTTCCTTATATCTGTATACAGATAGGAAAGTAAAAAGTACCCAATAAAAATTAAAATTAGCAGAATTCAATACAGCAAAAACATTCAACCCTTTAATTTACTGCCTGAAAGAATGTCTATTATTTACAATGAATGAAAGCAATATTTACAAGACAAATTACACTATAAAATAAGAATAAAACCTTTCCTTATCCCAGAGGGTGTAACTTCAATCAAAATGCAGAGAAATCTGCTAAAACCTTCTTAAAATCAGTGCACCCTTCAATATACGGTCTGCACTACGATCGGCCTTCAATATGAGACTGCTAATACATTTTAAATAGGAACGAAGGAGTGATAGTACATTGTCTAAAAAATTCAACATATTCAACTTGGATAACAAAATTGGATGACTAAGGCGATCGAATGCTTTGGTGAAGTCACATCTACCTGACCACCTCGGTCCAATATCGAGTTTTAATAGCTAGGTTAGTAACGGTAGATCTCCCACGAACAAATCCATGTTGTTCAGGTAAAATCGAGTTTTCGATATGCCTGTAGAAAAATTTGGTAACAGTGATTTCGAATACTTTACTAAAATTGCAGATAATAGCGATTGGTCTATAATTTGTAATATCATTTCTGTTGCCCTTTTTGTACACCGGGACAGTTTTTGAAATTTTCCATTTCTCGGGAAAAACAGACGTGGATATTATCAGATTAAAAATGATACTAAGCGGCTTAGTAAAAACAAATAAGCTATCACGCACAAGAAACGCAGGAACATTATCTGGACCCATAGTCATATTTGTCTTCATTCGCTTAATTGACTCGATTACGTCGTCCTCGGAGAGCTTGGGCATTACCAAAGCGTGGTTAGGAGAAATAACATCAAATAAGGGGGGATTAACATTTACAGGGTTGTCTAATGAGTCACTAAAATAGTCAGTAAAAGCAGATGCAATAGCGGCACTAGTTTCTAAATCAATGCCATTATAACACATATTGGCTGGTAGTGAGTTACATTTCTTTTTGGAATTATAGAATGACAAAAAATTCTTTGGATTTATTTTTAGTTTAGCTTCGACGTGGGCTTTTGATGGACAGTCATATTATCAGCTTTAAAAACAGACCGGAAATGTCTGTATTCATTAAGATCATCATCACCTTCCGTTTTTACTTTCCTATCTGTATACAGATATAAGGAAAGTATAGGAATCATGATTTTTTTCGACCTCGAGTTTTCGACGGATTTTTACGTTTTGAGGTCCCCTGAATCCGTTTTGACTATTTTCGCGATGATGTCTGTGTGTGGGTGTGTGTGTGTGTGTGTGTGTGTGTGTGTGTGTGTGTGTGTGTGTGTGTGTGTGTGTGTGTGTGTGTGTGTGTGTGTGTGTGTGTGTGTGTGTGTGTGTGTGTGTGTGTGTGTGTGTGTGTGTGTGTGTGTGTGTGTGTGTGTGTGTGTGTGTGTGTGTGTGTGTGTGTGTGTGTGTGTGTGTGTGTGTGTGTGTGTGTGTGTGTGTGTGTGTGTGTGTGTGTGTGTGTGTGTGTGTGTGTGTGTGTGTGTGTGTGTGTGTGTGTGTGTGTGTGTGTGTGTGTGTGTGTGTGTGTGTGTGTGTGTGTGTGTGTGTGTGTGTGTGTGTGTGTGTGTGTGTGTGTGTGTGTGTGTGTGTGTGTGTGTGTGTGTGTGTGTGTGTGTGTGTGTGTGTGTGTGTGTGTGTGTGTGTGTGTGTGTGTGTGTGTGTGTGTGTGTGTGTGTGTGTGTGTGTGTGTGTGTGTGTGTGTGTGTGTGTGTGTGTGTGTGTGTGTGTGTGTGTGTGTGTGTGTGTGTGTGTGTGTGTGTGTGTGTGTGTGTGTGTGTGTGTGTGTGTGTGTGTGTGTGTGTGTGTGTGTGTGTGTGTGTGTGTGTGTGTGTGTGTGTGTGTGTGTGTGTGTGTGTGTGTGTGTGTGTGTGTGTGTGTGTGTGTGTGTGTGGGTGCGTGCGTGCGTGCGTGCGTGCGTGCGTGCGTGCGTGCGTGCGTGCGTGCGTGCGTGCGTGCGTGTGTGTGTGTGTCTGTAGGTCGCATAACTCATGAACCGATACACAGAAAAACACCAAATTTTAAACTTAAGCTTTGTTTCAGCGTCCAATGAGCTGATTAGATTTTGGACAGAGTCGGAACATTTGGGGGGGTACTTTATTGGTGGTCATTTTTATATTTTATGGAATATATTCGTTATTTACGTTTGGGGAAGAAAATTCTTTAAATAAAAGTTACTTACAATATTATTATCTATTATTTTTGTTCAATGTCAAATTTTCCTGAAATGGTCCGTATTCGAGAAATTTGACAAAATGTGCAAAATTCTGATTTTTAAGAAAATTGTTAATCTAAAAGTTGTTTGCGATATCGATCTCTATAATTTTTGTTTTTAAATGACTTTTCTAAAATGGACCGTAATGGAAAAATTGGAGGAAAAGTGCTAAATTAAAATTTTTCAGTATTTTCGTTTTCAATGAATATCTATAGAAAAATGTTTCGAGGTAGATGTATGTGGAAAATGTATATATTTAGTTTATCCTCTAAACATTTTTAGAGATGCTGCAATAGGTTAACTAGATATGAAAGTCATGTGTTGGACACATCAGATTTTTTTTGTATTGTTTCCAAGCTTTATTTTTTAGGTTCAGTTATGAATGCAATGGTATATTTTGAGGTTGGGGCATTAGAGTAGATAACGGCTGTGAATTTGCCCAAAATATTTTCATTTTTTTCTACCTGTAGTAGTTTTAAAATATGTCCGTAAGTATTTAAAAAAACCATGGCTATTGCACCACTAAAATGTGAATACGCCAGGCCAACGTACACGGATCATATACATTCTCATGTCGCATTTAAATTAAATAGCCACACTATGCAATTTTTAATCTTTTTCAAAAATCTTTGTACCTTTTCTTTTTTATTATTAAGTATATTTATGATATGTAACGTTAATAAGGTCCAATACTCTTCTTTCTTTGTTGCAATAATCTGTTAATGAATAGTGTCACCAAAATCTGGAACAATTGCATAAAAAACCCATATCGAGATGCTATCAACAGCCATTCTGTACGTCACAATGTTAAATAAGAATATTATAAATAATAAGATTACAAATACAATTTTTATACCAATAATTCAATACACTATTACCTATCGATAAAATAAATAAAAAATCATGAAATAACAAGACATCCAAATCTAGTTTTTCAGTCTTTAAAGTTAAGCATTTCTGCGGATAAATATTTCTTTATCAAACCAACAAAAACAGACATTTAACAAGAGATTTCAAATGCAATTTTTATTCCAAAGACATAAAAAAACATATGTTATGAGTTATTGTTTTTTAATGATATTAATGTACTAAAAATTATATCTGGATATTCGTGGTAAATATTGGTTTTTGTCATTTTGATAAAGTAATGTTTATTCGCGAAACCTCGCATTTTTAACGACCTAAAAAACGTACTTAGATGTCTTGCTATGTAACGGTTTATTGTGTTCTTGAATGATACTAATGTACTGAATCATTCGTACTAAAAATTATATCTGGATTTTCGTGCTAAATATTGTTTTTTGTCATTTTGATAAATTAAGATTTTTCCGCGGAACCGCGCGTTTTAAAAAACCTAAAAAATTGTATTTAGAGGTCTTGTTATTTGATGATTTATTATTTTTTTTATTGATATTTCTTAAGTCAGTGTAATAACAACTCTAACTAGTCAAGGGCAGCGTGTTACGCGAATTGACGGGAATGAATAAGAATATAGAGTAGAAAGTACAATATACAAAAATTTACAGAGGTATGATACTTATTATTTCAACACAGTAGTTTTTTAAACTGTAAAGCAATAATTTGGCTCATTCAGAAAATATTTTTGATCTAAAAACAATATTTTTTTAATTATGTTGTTCTTACTAAATTCATATTTAGTATATAAACGTCGAGAAAAAATTTAAATTACTTAAACTTGGTTTAATTTATGCGATATTAAAATAAATATAATTAAACGGTTTATCTTTTAATATTAATTTATCTATGGTAGAAACACTCTCATGAGTTCGAGAATAGGGTACCTGATGGTCCCGCCTACCTTTCTGCCGCTAGTTTTCAGTGTAGTAGTAGAATTTTTCATAAACCAAAGACGTTTTGTCTAAGTAAAATATAATCTTTTTATTTATTTATTTTTTTTTTCAGAGATCGATTTAGGACGACAATAAATGTAATGTGCGACTGTTTGGGTGCTCAATTGGTAGACTACTTAAGCGTTGGTGAACTCGGATCTCTACCAGAAGCTGAGAAAATTAATGCTCAACAACCACAAGAACTAGTCGAACTTTCCAAAGTAGACAGTAATTTAAGTTAAAAACTTAAAACTAGGGATTTTTAAATTACATAAATCCAGACATAATGATTGATGGTAGAAATATTAATTGTCTTTTGACTGATTGGAAATGAAGATGAAAACAGTTCATTCATATACAGGGTATTTAACAATTAATTTATTAGAAAAATTGTATTGATTTTATGTATCCAAATTCTGTTTTCAGACTTATTTTTAATTGAGTTAAATTAATGTTAACTGCCTAACGTAAAGTGTTTAGTACTTCTACATGTTTTTAAAAATACACCATAGTGTGCATAACTAAAGTAAACCATGTTTTCTAATGTTACCTACCTATAAATGTTATTGTTGTTGATGGTGTTCAGTATTGAAAATATACTTTCTAAAGTTGTAAAAACAATTTTATTTTCATAAAAGCTAGATATAATTAGATACAGATATAATTTTGGGGGAGAAATGTATTCTCTTTGAAAAACTTTATTTTCTATGAAAACATTGATTAAGAAGAATTTGTTTATAACTAGTGATGGAATTTTTTTGGGACTAGTCCGATAAACATGTCCGGAAAATTAGTCGACTTTGGGCATAGAAAACACACAGTTAAATGTTTCTCCATTTTGGATGCGTTTTGAGAACAATATTTGCATTTGTACTTTTTTAGGCAAATCTTTGGTAATATAATTCCAAACTTTGGATTTTTTGGGCAATTTTCTCGTTTATATCTTCATAAAACAAAAGAAAAATTTGAAAACACCGCTAAAATATATAAAAGTCAGTAGTCATTTGTCGTTTCTTCTTTTTTAAACTATTTTTTGCCTTTTATTGTAAGAAATCCAGCCAAATTATTTAAGTTAATTTTCTACTTTTGAAAAATGTGTTTGGACAAGTCAACTGCTTAGTTTGTCGGACTTATGTGTGGACCTTTTCAAGCGACCCGTCACTATTTATAACATAACCTCATAATATATACGTAAGTTGAAGACTCATATTTTATCGTGCCAAATACCTAATGTTGCCAATTTTCGTATAAGATCGATTATGATATATTTTTTTTATTTAGGTAATAACTATCTTTTTTAAAAGTAAGAGGACCAAATTTTAATTTAACCCTTTCGCGTATAATCTGTAAATGATCTCTAGCCAAGATAACCGTTCATTCAAATTTCAAGGTAATTCAAATTAATATAGTAACCAAATGTTTAACGAAAATAGCAAATAATGACAACACATAAGGTGTAAGGTGTAATACAATACAAAAAATGTTTAATTGTATTAAACGATGAAGGAATACCGCAAAATATAAGAAACAAGTTCTGCTAAAGTCAGCTAAACAAGCTAAAGAACTATTTATAGTACGTCTCGTCACAGCGTTTAGCCCCTACTATTTTATAGTATTCTGAAATCATTGTACAAAAATATGGAATATAAGTTTAAAATTTTTGAAAAAAAAAACGCACATATACCATTTTACACTAAACTTTATTAAAGAAAAAACGCACATATACCATGTTACCCTATACTTTATTAAAGAATAATTAAACACATACGCAGTTTAAGCCAAAAATAAAAGAGAACCCTAAGAACGAATCGAAAAGGAAAAAATCAATGAAAAACTCTATAACCACTTGAGTAGATACCTTTTCAATAGTTTTCTTCTTTGCTACTTTCGTTGATATCCGGTAAGGTATTTGGTATATCATCTTTGGTTTTTAAATTTTTATAGAAGTCGTGGAATGGGTCAGAAATATAAGGCATAAGTTCTATCAAGCTCTTTTTCTTTTCCACATTGATGGGATTGGGACCGTTGTATGATAAAGGTATTTTTATATATTTTGACAATGTTTTACCTTTTCATAAGAAGTTAACTGTTTTAAACAGCTCATCTTCGTTCAAACTGGTTTTATACTCAAGAATACTTGGGTTTTGAGACACCCTTAACCACTTTATCTCCTTCCATGATAGTTGTTCTCCAGAGTCAGTAACTTTCCTTTGTTGTAAGATAGTTTTATATAAAGACGAAAATTAAAAAAAATCTGTAGACATTTCAGTAACTAAAAAAGGCTTCTTAATCCCACACAATTTGAACAAGTTTATCCAGTCTCGTAGATTCTCTATTAGAAAAGGGTTTCTTTTTTTTTTTTTGTTTTTTCTTTATAATGGAGTGATCGGAATCACACTCCATATGTGTGTGTGTGTGTGTCCAGGAATGAGAAATTTATGGTTTATGAAACGTAGATTCAGTTTATTTTTTAAAACCATCATGTACAAAGCAGGTAAAAATGAATTTTTATTTTGTTCAGGACACGTATCTGAATAAAGTGTCACTTCTTTTATTTCCGTGTTGTTCAAGAGGTGCCTATATAAGCACGAGGCAATTTGATTTGCTCCGCGACCGGCCATACCTTCATGCTACATGAAACATATTGCATGATTATTGCTGCAGTCATGTAATGTTAAATTAAATGTCCATAATTGGCGTTTATAAAATTCTATAGATGTTTAAAGGTCTGGTGTAGGCAGGCATTGTTGAAGATTGAAAGTGTAAATGCGTTTTGATGGATCTTTCAAAGCTGCGTTTTTGTCCAAACGCTTGGCACAATAAGCATCTGCTGCTTCTTTCTGATGAACGTCGAGTTGAACTTGAATTCCTTGCCTCCTGTTGACATCCTAGTTGTTTTTAAAAGCATATGAAATTTGTCGCATGTGGCGCAGGTGTCCTTACTAGGGGTTTTAATTTTTATTCCCATAGAGCGAAAAATTTCTTGATATTTAAATTTTGATACTGGTTTCTTTTCTTCAGATAACCATTTTTTATATTTATCCTGCATTCTTGTCAAAGTATAGTAATGGGGAAGATATTGCTTTGATGAGTCTTTTCGGCAATAGTGACTCTCATAAGCTGGAATGGATGATATATGAGCTTTCGCTAAATTGATGTCTTCCTCAGGAGTTTTACTAGGTGGTGGCGCCAGGCCTCGTAAGTCATCGTGTGGTATTCCAAAAACTGAAGAGCTTTTATTTTTTATGACATCGGAAAGAAATTAATTTGTCTCATTTGAATCGGTCATTTGAGAAACGACACATGTCACACTTTTGGCCATTTTGTTTTTATTACAAAAATACAGTATTTAAAGGTAAATTATAATTATTGAATTATACCCAAAATATAGCAAGTTTTAAACGATAAGTGTACAGAACTATTTTTTAACCATGTTTTGAGATTTTCATTTTTTTCTTATTTTTTGAAAAATGATCTACAACTGACATGTGCTGTGTCTCAAATGACCGATTCATTTAGAGTTCTTAGGGGACATTTTTGCCAAATTTGAACTATTTGCCCGCCTATTGGTATAACATATTTATGTGTAACTTGTCTATTTTTATGTTTTTTCCATCCATTTTACGTTTTTCTGTTTTTTTTTTCTTCTGTTGTTTCAAGTGAGGCTAAAAAATAACAGGTTTATTAAAATTGTCCTGTGTCTAGTACTCTTTAAAAACCTGTTGTCGCTTTTCTTCGGAAATTATTTCCTTACATCTAAGTCGGCAATTTAAAAGCTCTTGGCATTTTTTATCTTTGATTACCTTTCCTTTTTTTGTATATTTTTGAATATTCCAAGAGAAATTATTTATTTTAGAAAAACACCCGTACGAACTACTGCACAACACCATACGCATAGCAATACTGAAACAAACTGAAGGATTCTGCTATAAATAAAACAATTTTTTCTTTGGCTTTAATACATCTAGATTTATACTAGTTCTCTCTATTGAAAGGTCAAGTGTTTTTGAAGCCACATGTATACTTACATTTTTTGACTTATACCACTGTTCTCCAACACCCGCAAATTTATTTTTATGTAATTTCAGTAAAACCCTATTACAGTAATCTTGAATTTTAGTGTTAATTTATTGAAAGTCAAGTCTAATGAAACTGCTGCAAATTTGTAGTCTATTCACAAGTTATAGACCCACTAGTCATTCACTCCATTTATGTATTCCTGTACGGTATTTTCATCAGCGAAAGGGTTAACAAATATTTGCAATTTATTCAAAATGTTTTTTCTGATTTAATCATGTAATAAAAATATTCATTTTTTTTATTTTCTTTAATATTTCATTGTAAATGTTTTTAATGGATTAACTAAATGTAAAGTAGAAAATATATGTAAATATTCATATTTAAGGAAGTATAATTTACCGTTGAAGTTTCGACATAATTTTAAACATGTATAAGTATAATAGTTATGACATTAAATATAAGAACCGTATTATTTTTAAGTTTAATTTAAAGTTTTTTTAATAAAATAAAAGCGTTTTTATTTTATTTGTGTTTTATTTCTAAACCAATGTTATACCAAAATAATCGAGAAACAAGTTTTTATTAATTTATATTTAATTAATTTACGTAGTTACTATTACTTTTGAAAATCAAAATAAATTTTAAAAAATTCACTTTATCTTACAGCCAACGAAGAAATCTAGAATATTAGTATTATGTAGTACTGGTTCCAATAACGCAAGATATTTACGAATTAAGATTTTTAAGACGAAATAAAAAATCAGAGACTCCCCAGTTAGCACATAACGTTGCCAAGCCTTTCGGCGATGTTGTTTTAAAGGCACGTAATAACAATATTATACAACGTGAAGGCAACGTTCATGAGAAGTTGTTGAGGGAAATCAAAACCACGCGAAACTTCTATTTGTTACTTACGTTATGATAACACAACGTAATAAAGTAATTTACTAAAAAAGTATCCACGAGAAGTACTGTGAACATCATATTGTTTTCGAACGTAGCCATTCGTTTGTCATAAGTCATAACAAAACCAACAAAACATAAATAATGTCACTTGTCACTTTTTCTTGTGGTATGAATTTGAGATTTTAAAGAATACCCTTTATACCTGCTTTGTCCAATTTTTCATTGTTTTATGGTATCACACATGTGTAATTGTGTTACCTTGTGATTTGCCTATATTATTAATACCTACCTCTACTTGTATGATATTGGTACTTGATTTCAAAAGCTTTTTAATTAATTTTACAATTTTTTATTTTGTTTTATTCAGATTTTACTATATCCTCAATATACTATTTTACATATAGTGTATTCAAGGATAGGCATAACTATATTTGTAAAAATATTTATTTAAAATTTTTCAAATAAGTCATTTTTCATATTTTCTCAACGTTAATCGTATTTATTTAACAAGCAAAAGAAATTATGAAGAAGTACTTTTTTAAATTTAAAATAAATATTTTTACAAGTATTGTTAAGTCCATCTGTAGACACACTGTATAATGCTGTAGAATGAATTCACATTATAACACCTATAAAACGTTTCAAAGCAACTTTTGGGGAAAGTACCGTGAAAGTCCTAGTGTGATGTTTTCCGAACTGCACTTTGTAATCTCTATGAGATGTGCTATAAAAGTATTGCCGTTGCGGACATTCGGCGGTTGCATAGATAATAGGGTTACATTAAAAGTAAATTGCATGCGAGCTTAAAGAGCCTAAAATTGCAGCTTATTAAAGTAGATGGGATGTTTTTGTGCTAGCTGGGTTATGTTAATTATAAAATATATCTAATACGGTCCATTCACAAACGCACTTCATGTCTTCTCGTATCAGTCCTACTACATGTCCTCCACGATGTTTATACAATTTACCTGTATCCCTATAGGCCATTGAGTTAGATTAATAAAAGTTCTGAGACTATGATAGTCTCGCGAAGTAAAGATATTGAAATCATGCTATTCAAAAATCAAAAAGGCGACTTATAATAACAGCTGGCGCGTGATTCATACGTAAGAATAATAAAAAAAACATAACCAGACTTCTCATTTTACCTAATATTTAATAAACAATTCCAGACTTAAGATTTTAAAATTCTGTAACTTTCCTATTTTTTTTTTTATGTAAGTTCGTGGTTTGTCCCTCGTCATAGTCTAAAAGAAGGCTATTATTTTTAAGTTATCAAATAAGAAACAACTTTTTCAAAAACTAGTAATTGGGTGTTCAATTCGAAAAAGCGACGTTTAAGATATTTAAAAAATTACAAGTTTATTTCATATAAAAATAAACTATTAATATGTTTTACCTCAAATGTTAATACCAAACTTTTGAACAATTTTTTAGTAAATTCTCACATTTTTACATTAAGTAGACAGAAAAAAACTAAATTGGCACTGTACATTGAATTTTATGGTGAAAAAATGTATAAGATGAGTCATTTAAAAACATTGACATTAAGACTGTCCCGCTATTAAATACCCTGTACATTTCAAAGTATTTTGTAAATATGCAATTAAAAAACCCTATAACTTTTATATAAAATATTTTACTTACCATTTGAAACCGTTCCTTGCTCCTTTATACTTCGCTCCTTTAGTAGGTCCAGTATATCTCTCCTTTTTTCCATAATATCCAGTATTTCCAGTAGAATTTTCCGATAAAATCGCGTCCGGAAAAATCTTCTATTCCCGACGACAACAATGATCATCGTATCATGTTCAATTCTATATCAACCCTTTAATACGTAAAATTTTTCAAAATAGACGTATGTGAGGACTGTATATCTGCAGCCTTGTCCATTTAATTCTAGAAAGTACATCCGAAGATACTATAATGTAAATCAAAGATCTACCTTGACTATCAAAAGACGTACATTCTAAGATTAAACGTCTTTATTGTCAGAAGTGAAATGAACATGAGCTTAAATCATTGATATCGTGCTACCGATTAACTCGAAATATTTGCGGCGATTTAAATTTTTTCACGGATATTCGCTGAAAAGAAAAAAATTATCAGGACATTTTTAAAATGTCAAAAGGTAAGGATATTATTGAAGGCACTCAAGACTTTTTATAGTCCACCTTCAACTATTTTTTGTAAGAGGTAACTTTAATATTTTTTTTTATTATTATTTTGTTATTTACATATTTTGTTTTATTTTAAAAACCTAATAGGTATTTTTTCATTTTATTCTATAAGATCTTTTGCGTAAACTAAATAATAAAAAAATTCTACTGTATAACTTTAAAGGACTAATCAAAAAGTACAAGATGTTTAAACAAAAATTATTGTTTGATATATTCTTATATATTATTTCTCAAGAATTGCGATTTTCTTATAGCAGACTGACATTACATACAGAGTGTTTATTGAGTGCAGATACTTAAGGATGTGAATTTTAAGAAGAAAAGTTAATATCAACATTAGAGTGGCGCAAAAAAACCGTACGAAAATATGTTAATTTAATTTAAGAAAAAACATTTTTTTGTTTTTATTTTTTACACGAAAACGGTGCGTCGTACGAAAGTAAGTCTATGGACCAAATTTGCTGCAAAATAAATAAATATTTCAAAAATAATTTTGGTTTGTAGAAAAAGCAATAACGTACCATTTTTTTCTTCAAAAATATTCAGTTCAAACTTCGTACGGACGTCACTGATAAAAATTTAAAAAATATTTTCTAAAAAAATGCTCCTTAATGATTAAAAGGTGTATACAAAATTTCATAAAAATATCTGGATTCATGGGCGTCGTTACACAATTCTGTAGAAAAGGGTAAAATTTTCAAAAAATTTTAGAATGTTTATTGTTGGAAAACAGAGGAAATGAAAAATAAAAGAGAATTTTCTTGTGATATATTTAATTATTCTGTGACGTCATGGCTTACTTCCAGCTTTTCCATAAATAACAGAAAATCACAATTTATTTTTTATTTTTAAATGAAAACCTTTTTTTATTGAAAATTTGAATTTCTGGGACATTTTTGTATAAAAAGCGTGTATTGAAAATTTTCTGTAACATATTAAAAAATATATTTTCCAATATGAAGGTCATTTTGACAGCTGACAGAAAATTTTCAAATATATATGTTAATTTTAATAAATGTACATGGATTTGTAAAACAAGTGAAAAAATTAATATTATTATTATATATTTTTATTATTACTTTAGCTAAAAAAAAGTCAATAAAAATCAATAATAAAACATAAGCAGGTATGTACGAGAAAATGTATGAGATCTTGCCTAAGCCTAATAAGTTGTCATTGAAGAATAGGTTAAAAAATGTCAAAATAAAAATATTACAATTATACCGGGTTTTCAAATTAAAGTGTTACAGCTAAATACCGACCTTTATAAAAAAAACGTTTCAGACAAAAGTTTTATAGTTTTGTGGGGAAAAAATCGTTTTTATAGCTAACCATAATATGGCCAACTTTTTTTTTGCCCAGCAAAATTTTTAAGTAGCTGTTACTCAAAAACTAAAAGTCCAATAAAAAAAATATTTCCCTCAAAAGTTTCTGTGTACTTTAAGAATATGTAAAAAAATGGAAGGTTTCAATTTAAAAAAATAAAGTCCACCTCGATATGGCTATATTATGGTCAGTTATAAAAAAATGAATTCAGCCAAAATGTTTCCCCAAAAAACTATAAAACTTTTGTCTAAAACTTTTTTTTCTAAAATGCATATTTTCGGCGGTATTTAACTGTAACACTTTAATTTGAACACCCGGTATAATAACATAAATTACAATCGCAAATATACCAATTATTTTTGTTATTACGTTTTAATTCTACATTTTTTTATTTTTAGTTCAAAAGAACCCATAGAAATTAATGAATAAAACTGGTTTCCTATCAATAAGTCACAAGATTGCATTTCAGCCATATACAATAATCAAAGGCAGAAATCTAATCATTTGCTAAACATTTAAGATTTAAGGGATGTTGAAGAATATCATAAAAATATAATTTATTGTTTAATTATTAAAAAAATAAAGTTTTTTTTTTTGTTCTTATTATAGAGCTGTCCATTAATTTCTTTGATTTAATTTCGAATAACTCTGTCGTTGGTGGAAGAGCCATAAATATTGTTTAAACCACTTTGTATGTCTGGATAAAATTCACAATGTTTGGACGCTATATCATTCATAGAGCTCATTGTGTGCAGAAAGCTCTTTCGTACTCCAGTTTGGTATTCAGCTTCAAAATTGTCGATTCAAAATTTGTCCACTACTTTCGCTTTCTAATCGGTAGTGAAAAAAGTATTTTTTATGTTTTTGGGATGTAACAGGCTTAAGGAAAAACTAACAAAGTCTTCGGAAAAGCGTGATGTAAGCGACGTAATAAGGGAACCCAGATATGCAATAAATATATTCAACCTACAATATTCTTTAACTATATTACTCTGAATAATATTTCTATGAGATTGTTGTTCGTAATACATATCTTACGCGTTGTTGATTAAGT